TAACTTGAAGTTGACGCGCTAGTGTAAAGTGGCCGACTCGCTTGGGTGGCCGACTCGCTTGTGAACCACGTTATGGAACACTCCTCTACAGGAGAAAGATGTCGATGCTAATTAGGCGGCACAAGCTGTTGAAGATAGGTCAGCATGGAACGAGGTACTAGAAATATAAAACCTACTGCCAGGGCTCGATGGGCAGACCCCAAAAGAACTGTATCCAATGCATTGGATATAGCAATCGCCAACAACTCGCCCAAAACTGCCCTCAACTGGTCGTTTCGGACAATTAAAGGCCTCAGCATATGGATTGCCACTACCAATTGCCTGAGTACCACATGATTCTCGAATACAGCCTTGCATCCATCCATTAATGATATCTCGGTGCCGAGCGTACTGATCTTTGTTGCAAGGGCCCTTTTTAGACTTGTTCACATCAGAAAAGCAACACATGAGGCTGCCTGCAATAAGTGTTGGACTTATAAAGAGCATCAAGAACGACAGCATAGTGAGTATCGTGATTTGGAAAAAGAAGAGACTGCTAAGAATATCCAGGTAAAGGTTGAACTGAATTAAAGAAGTAGTTGACAAAGATTCCGTTCTAACGAAAATATATATGCAACTTTTGATCTAATTAAGGTTCATTTGAATTCAAATCAAACTTTAATACTAACATGGCATCGTTTTTTCCATCACTTTCATCGTTTATCAAGCAAGTGATACGCATCTCAAAAATTCCGAGCCGCTCTTCGGTATAATCTACGGTGCTACACGGCACAGTTGATATATGTGGGTCCGCTAGCATGAGATAGTATAAGCCGTGGTAGAAAGTAAGAGCTGTACTATACAAAGTTACAATTATCAAGAAACAGCGTAGTATTTTTTCCCATAACAGGGGATATGAAAGAAGATCTTAATTACCGTCTTGGCGTCTCCATAGTACAAAGGTTGTAGCATGCAGCACAAGTACCAGTACTGCCTCGTTTCGGCTCTGACTTAGTAAGCCTTAGAAGCCAGTTGTTTTCTAAGGTTTGAGCTGGCTTTTTTTATCTGACATAATGACGAGAATGACGTGATCTTTCGTAGTTACCGTAAGTAAAATGCAACCTCTGAGACTAGATCTATGTCAAGGCTCAAAAATGGAGGTGTACAAAAGACCTGCTTCTCCACTATTTTCAGGGAAGACAACATTCATCCAATCTACATTAAGGTAGTTTCACTATCCACACCACTGTTACCATCTCATCTCTACAAAAGATGCAGTTCTTCACTCTAATATTCTTTTCGCTTACCGCATTACCGAGCTTTGCGAATCCAGCAGGCGATTGCAATCCAAGATACGATCCTCGCTGCTTTATCAATCCCCCCTGGCGTCAGTGGCAAGCATCCTTTACATTCGACAGAAACATCATCGACCTCTACCGAAACCCATACGAGATTAATCTGCGGCATTTGCACATCGCCGTTGTTGCAACCACCGCCGGCGGCGTTGATTTTGTCATCACAGCCAACAGCGACATGCCCCTTAGGGTTGATAATGTTTTGTACCGAGCTACGTTGGAAGGGATAAGCCGTCCTGGATCATGGTTTCCTCACAACCCAAACGATCCTATCCACCGCGTGTCCTTTACACCTCTTGAAATACATTCGCTTCCACCCACCTCAAGTCACACTCTCCACTTTACGTTTGAGGTCTCCGAGGAGAGTGAGCTTTAAAGCGTAGAAAAGAACATGGAGTGGAGGCAAGCATTCAACATGATTACTGGAATATCGAAATGCCGTTCGTAAGTGGCGCTGTTAAAAAGCATAAACTCTGAACTCTTATGCTAATTTTTATTCAAAGTGAAAGCAGTGGTCTCGTGTGCTCAAATGCTAAGTAACATACCTTGCTTGGATACTTGTTTTTACGAGCTGCTCCGATTGTAGCAACGTTATAAAGAAATTCTCATACGAAATGAAATGTTAGGTATAAGAGATGATATTTGATAGAGAGCTGTCGAACTATGAGCGGGAAAGACTCTATCTAAGCACGGATTGGAGAAATAAGCCTCTATTCGTTGTATACTAGTTATGTAGTATTATTCTCAATCTATCTACGCATGCCTATCTCTAATATGCTAATACTAGAAGAGAGTGGAAGTAGGATAAGAGTCTTAATTATCTTGTTTCTCGTATGATTGATTACACTCACCACAGAATGCTGATTCATCTAAATTTGCTCATGATACTCCACCGGTAGGTCCTTCTGCACCAGCTCTGACAACTTCAAAGACTATCACTATCGCCTTCAACCTTGCAGCTCAAACACTTAGTCAAAAGTTGAAAGCGTTCTTGTACACCTTCTTCTCCTTCTCCTTCCTCGCCTGAACCTTCTTCTTGATAAGATCTTGCTCCTTCACAATCGCCGCATCGCCTGGCGCATACTTTGCCGCTTCCTTCAGGTCAGCCAGCGCCTCATCCTCGTTCTTCCTAGCAACCTTTGCTTGGGCACGCCTGAAGTAGGCTTTGGCCTTGTCCTTGTCGGTGATTCCCTCAATATCCAGCGCCTTTGTCGCGCTCTCTATCGCCTCGCCGTACTTGTGTGTCTTATTCTGAAGTAGGGCGCTGTTGGAGTAGAGCGAGATCTTTAGGGCGCAGAGCTGAGGCCAGAGATCCTTGGGATCATCATCTAGTGGTGCAGGGTATTCGTGCAAGTAGCGGATGCCTTTTTGGTACTTCTTGATACCTAGCTCGAGGTCGCCTTTCTTGAAGGCATCGTTGCCCATGTCCTTCAACTTTGTCGCAATCTCAAGAATTTCAGTGCCTTTCCACTCCTCATCAGCAGACTTTTGGTCCTCTGGGAAGTCTTCGTATGGATCACCAGTTGCGTCGGAGACCTTCTCGGTTGCCTTGTCGTAATCCTCGCCCGTGAGCTCACCGCAGTCAATGATGGTGGCATCTTGCACCGGCTTGTCGCCGCTCTCTGTTTGAAGGTTCTCGATTTGGCGCACGATGCTCTTGCCATTGATAACCTCACCGAATACGACGTGCTTCTTATCGAGATGTGGTGTAGGGACTGTGGTGACGAAGAATTGCGAGCCGTTCGTTCCTGATAATTTGTTAGCCGACTATGTCGCAGAATCTGCTGTGAGATTTGTATCCGCCTTACCTGGCCCAGCATTCGCCATGCTCAGAAGGAACGGCCTGTCGTGGATCTTCTCAAAGTTCTCGTCCTCGAACTTCTCGCCATAGATGCTCTCGCCACCAGTGCCATTACCCTGAGTGAAGTCACCACCCTGGATCATGAAACCCTTGATAACCCGGTGGAAGCTTGAGTTCTTGTAGTGTAGGGGTTTGCCGGATGCGCCTTGGCCCTTCTCGCCAGTACATAGCGCCCGGAAGTTTTCGGCAGTCTTGGGAACAATATCACTGTACTGATTGATTTGTTAGTCCGTATATACGCACATCGTAGTAGAAGGATGTATTGGCGCGTGAAGTGCCAATGGGAGGGTAGAACGTACAAGCTCAAAGGCAACACGACCGGCCTTTGTGCCGCCAATCGCAATATCGAAGAAGACGCGTGGGCGCTCTGGCCTCAGTCAGCATTTGTGTTCAATAAGTGTTCATGCTTAAAGTTGGGTGTATCTTACTAGAGTCAGCCATTATTGCTCAGTTGTAGTTGTAGTGTATTGGAATATGAGGTGAAGATGTGCAACAAGTACAGAGTACGATTGGTCGCGTGGATTAAGAAAAGTGTATGGTATGTGTTTTGGCGTTGCGAAGCTGGGTAAAAGCATGCAGCCAGCCATCCAGAACTTTCCACGAAGCTACAGCCTACAGCCTCATGCCGCGCCAAGCCCGCTTTTCTGGCATCGGTACGACGCCAGAAAGAACCGATCGCATTGCTTTTCCGATTGCATGAGGCCAGGTAACGTCAGGCGGGATCGTGATAAGAATGCGACCATGGTAACGTGCTTGTTTGGAAATCGCATGGGTCTTGTAAACATGGAGTTGGTGCTCATGAAGAGGGGCAATGCGGGGTAAACATCAACATCCGCTCCCTGTCCGTCTGCAAAGCCGTTACAAACGTCTCGTTTTCATTCTTGCCACGCAGTATTTCCCCATAAGTTCATGCAATCTCACTGGATCATAACGGATGCCCGACCGAACGGCTGCTAATTACTAGACGAGCCAAATGGTCATTCTTCTCCCTCTCACGACCTTCACGCCAGGCAGAATGGAATCAACTTGTAAAAACAGACATTTTTTTCTTCTTTCTTTCCCTAACATAATGCTATCCAACCTGCTATAACCTATTCATTGGGATTACCGCCTAGCAGACATTGAGAATGGAATGGCCGTCGAAACCAGCTCATTCTGATCGTAGTGATACGTGAAGCCGCCCTGCAGTGTCCTTCTCAGCGCATTGAGTCTCTGCAACTTCCACCATTTATCAATCCTGACTTCGACGTTCCTGTTGATCTTAACTTTCATCCTGCCAGATCCGTATGCCCTACCAGTCTCCTCGTGCAGCGCCATGGAGTACGCCGGGCCGCGACTGGGCTTCTCGACAGAGTTGCGAATATCTGCAAACGAAGAGTGCAACGCTTTGCGATCCTTTTTGGATATGCGGCGAGTCGAGACGTTGGCAAGCTCATCGAGGGTATGTAGGAGCTGGTCTTGTCTTCGGTATACCGTGTAGCGCTTTACCAACTTCTGCCCATCTCGGACATACTCGGGATCATCGCGGTCATCCCCTTCAACCTCCTCATCCTCCTCTTGTGGAGTAAGTGATTTTTCATACAAAAGCGCAATATTCTCTCCAGCTGCGATTTGCACACCTGAGTCTGCGCTCTCGAGTTGCTCTACAAAAGCTTCCATGGCAGCCTCGGTCTCTTCTTCTAGGTCCTCGATTTCAGTCGCCAGCAGACCCCACTCCTCAAGTGCAGCAATCACAACCTCGCCTTCATCTTGCGCATCAATAGAAGCACCGTCCGACTCGACAATCTCAAGGAAGAGGTTCATAATGTCCAAAATCTCGTCGTCACCTGCTCCAGCGAAGAAGGCGGTGGTGCCTAGGGTGTGGATGGCGTTGACCTTAACGGGGATTGAGGATGATGATTGGATAGATCGCTTGAGTTGGTCGGCGACATCGTCGTAAATGGAGTCGGAATCGAGAGTAACAGCAGTGACTGCGATCGCTAATAGTTGTGAGCAAAGTGTCATTATTTCCAGATGATATGCATACCTTTCAAGGCCTTTACAGCCTCGTTTTCTGTGGTTTCTTGTCTGACGCTCCTAAGCATAGAAGAAATCAGGTCGTGGGTGCGGTCCTCGATCTCGTCCCTCGCATACCGGGCCATGAGTATGTGCGCATAAGCATTTAGGCTTTCGGTGCGCCCCTCGGTGCTGCTGCGCTTTAGGTTGGTAATTTGCTCGATGCGCGTATGGAGCTCCGCCTTCCATGCATCTTCAGGAATATTGACATCTTCGCCGTTGAGAATATCGTCGATGGATGCGGTGCTGTTCAAACAAAATGTCAGTACTTGTTGGTCGACATTGTTTTGGGTGATGATGTCACCAGGCGCGATCTACAGTGTGGCGAGGCAAACCAAAAAAAAGTTGTGTGCGGCGCTGAACACTCACCTCCATGCAGTTCCGTCACTCAGCTCGTCTTCATCGTCGGTATCGTGTCGGCTGCGACTGGCGGCACGCGACTGTGCTGGTGATGCGACTACCGAGTTTGATTTGGAGGCTGTAGTGGATGCGACGCGCGAGCGAGCCTTGCGCGAGACGGTCTTGTGGCTCTCGAGAGCCTGCTTACGGAGGTCGCGCATTCTGGATTATGTCTCGTAGGCTGGATGAATTTTTGGGACAAATCTCGTTACAACAACCTTTTCGGAGCTGTAGCTTTGAGGTTGAGCTTTGTAGGTAGTTGGTACCCAGCGGCGGATTGCGGGGAAGCCAAAGTAGGAAGGCAGTTATTCCAAGGGTAATGAGTCTCTAAATTCAGTCGTGGACGTATATGAGTTAGGTTTGAAAGACATGAGTATGAGTCAGAGAAGACAGCGAGATAGCAAGTCCGAGGCAAATAGGAGGGAGGGAGATGTGGTTGTTCACAAGGCAGCCGGCTGGTGTCAGTCGTTCCTCCCAAACGACTTGTCCCGAGTGGATGGTGGCCAAACGGCGCTAACCGTCGCATACGTCATATCCATCCAGTCTTCCATTTACTACAAACCTTCCACAACACGTTACCTGACCACACCGACCCAGATGACCTTTGGATATAGGGATACGCTTGACACTTGCCGTCTCTTTTGAGTTCATCATCCCTTCAAGTAGTCCCTGATCGCCGCCACGGTAAGACTAACCTGATGTGTTGTACTTAGCGACAGCTTCGTGTCAGCCAAATGGTCGTGACACTGATTGGCCGCTTCTACTCTATCTTTTAACTAAGAAAGCCGCCAGGATTAAGACCAGACTTCGAGAACAGCTGATATCAGGCTTCTTTACCAAAAAATGGGCTCACGTCATATTCTTATCTGGGGCCACGCGCCGCAGCCGCACAGGTAGACGCTTTCTGTCTACAGTACTGTCAGATGATCTACACTTTGGCGCAATTTTTATATTCAGTTAATCAAGTCCGTTCGGGCCACATCAACTCCTCGCCTGGTCAGCTGCAGAAGGCGTGGTCATGTTTACGCCAGTCACCTCCCGACCAATCGGTCTGACATGTGTATCTCCGTTAAAGCCAACCTCGGCCTTGGGTCTAGACTTCATGTGGCAGACCATACGGTCGCGATCCTGTGCCAACGCAATGCGCGGTTATCGGTAAGCGCGCTGCGGGATATGGTGATATGGTCGGAGTTCCATGCCCAAGATGAGACTTTTTATCAACACGGAATCCTCACGTCGTACACTTGGACATGGATGTAGTAATCATATCGTGGCCGTACGCCACCTTTTTTGTCATGGCCGCATTCCCAGATTTGTAATACTTAATTGTGGTGTTGGCACATGAATCAACAACCCTCGACCACATGCGACCACTCGAAAGCAGTCTCCGCCTCCCGAGGCTGATGCGGCACAGTAGCCAAGCGCCGTAAATATATCTCATTCGCTAAGATACGACGTGATACTCGTTTGTCGCTTAACAAGGATCTGAACGACACGTGCAAGCCTTACTCACGTCCAGCCTCACGACGACACATCACGGCTTGGGGAGGATGAGGATAAGGATGAGGCCGAAAGTGAGACCAATATGACCCGGCACAAACCAACAATCAGCTACACAATCCAACGGGAATAAGCAGTCTTTCAAACTGCGAGGTTTTGGCGCTTTTTCTGGCGTAGGTACATAATATCTGACATGCAAGGCCTGCCATCTCAGGCGTCCCGTATGAGTAGCATGCGTGGAAGTGGAGCAGCCCTGGACAAATGGTCCTGAACTCGATTCCTTCGTAATTGGTCCGCTCGTACCATAAACACCGCAAGGATATCATAAACCCTAGTTTTTAACAAAAACTAACTGATGCATTGTTGGAAAAGCCATGTGCGCCTCCTTCCAAGCCATGTACATCCAGTTTCAGCTCAAATTCCGTTGCCCAACCCCACAAAATGCCATGCGCATAGATGTAAAAAGAAAAGAAAAACGAAGATCTAACCGAAGCTGACGGCGTAAAGAACAAGGGCGGCAAATCGAATGTACGGGCAACGCAGAAAAAAAAAGGTCGACCGACCAACCTCCCAAGCGAATCAACAAAAGCAAACAGCTCAACCACCTATGCAACCATGCATCTAGAGCCGGCCTCGGGGCAAATAACTCTCCGGAAAAGCCCATCTGCTGAGCCGCAGCCACCATCCTTCCAGTAAAACGTCCTAATATGCATCGTACTCGGTGCCCTTTCTTTTCGCATGCCGCGGAACCCTCCCTCCCTTGCCGCAACATGCCACCCCCCTCCCTCTGTAAACCGCACAACCGATAACGCAGAATCCCTGCTCCTTGTCCTTTGCATTCTCGCCACCCGAAAATAATCGCTCCAATACATAATAGGCAGCAATTACGATCGTGACGTTTGATGCTAGATAGTTCCGATAATCATGATACCCACACACACACACACACACACACATGATGCACTATACGGCTTTTTTTGTTCCCTTTCTTTCTTGTCTTTTAACTCTGTGCACCGCCGCCTACGCCAGCGCCCTCAGGCCACCCAAACGGAAACGCCGAGCGCTCTCCCGGCTTCCGTCTTGGGATATCAATGTGGTGGAAGTTGCGGAGGTGCTCGACTAGGTGGTCTCTGCGCGTGAAACCTTTTTCGCCTACGCGGTTGCAGCGGGCGACGTGGCAAGGGTACTCGGGTGTGCCTACGCCGTGGACGGTGGACTGGTGGCGTTGCAGGTCGGCCAGGCGCGTGAAGTGCGCTGAGGAGGTGCAGGAGGGGATTTCGCAGGTCCATGTTCTGTAAAAAAGGGGGGGTAAATGTTAGACAAGTGAAAGGATGGGGGGGGGAAGAAAGAAAGAGAGAGTAACGTACTTTGATCGTGTTGTACTGCTTTTGCTTCTGTTGATAGTCGACATGTTAAACTCTTTTTCTCTCTCTTGGGATTGGACGTGTATGATTCTAATTAATGAACATACCTTTTATGACTTTGACCCGTCGATAGATTCATGTCTGTACTTTGCATTTGCCATTCTGTGCTTTCGTATCCTGTCACGGGTTCTTGGTATGGAGCGGGTGTCACGCCCATTGGCTGCTCAACATAATAATCTTGAATCATTTGCCATGGCTGTGGTGGATAACATTGGTATTGCGCATAGTACGCATTGATTTGCTGCTGCGTGTATTGAGGTACTCCTGGTTGGTACGGTGGCTGTTGTTGATACGAGTAGCTACCTTGGTCTGAAGACGAGTACTGTACATTTCTGTCAGTAAGCGAAACAAGAAAACGTGGGGAACTTGTTAGGAAATTGATAATGTGGGGGGAGCGACTTACGCTGTATCCGGACATGGCGGGCGAAGGCGGTTGTTCCTGCTTTGGGCGCACTGACTCGGTCTTCTTGGGACGAGAGCTAGTATTAATAGAGTCACTTTCAAGGGCAGACGGGCGGTAGGCGGGTGCCGCGGGCGATGTGATAAGGCGCAGTTCGTGTGCTTGGTGCGTGTTCCTTATCGGGACTGGATGCTTGCGAGGTACGAGGTATGGCTGTCCGGGAGAGCTACGATAGAAAAACAAGTTAGATAATTCAATGGTGCTTTTGTTCCTGTTCCCTGTCTGGCCGAGAGGCGAATTCTCGATAGTTTATATGGGGCAGCGCTAAAAGGATGTCTTTTTTGACAGCTACCTAATCACTGCCACAATCGAGCTGACATCCTGCGGCCGTAAAGTACGAATCCACTTACATATACTTCGGAGGAAACGGGCTCTCCAAAAGCCCGAAAGCATCGCCATGCGAACCGTGGTGTGCCAGCATCGTTGATGACGAGAATAAAACGTAGGGGTCAGCGAGGTTCAGATCAAGATTTGGACCCGGGTCCAGGATTCAGTTGGTATTGACAGGGCTTGAGGGAGGCAATGTCGTCCCTTTAGTAAGATTGTCGCTGTGCTTGGACAAAGCTACGCCAAAGACCAAGACTTCGAGTATAGAAGCCTGAAATTGCTGAGGTGGGACCTATGGGTTAGCGTGGGCGAGGCGGAGAACCCAAGCCTGCGGTAGCAACTACGTATCTTGGTATAGGGCTGACGATGTTTGATGTCTGTGCAGGAAAGCTGGTGAAACTCAAGGACAAAATGGTGGGTCGGTGCTATGGCACATGTGAGTCAAAGAGGCCAATTTTGTTTTCTATGGTGGGAATAGGGAGGCGGTGAAATAGTTTGCTAAAAGGAGCGTAGCCAGTGTAGTTGGTGGAGAAAGATAGCCGTTGACTAGATCTGCCGTTAACCCTTCTTCCCGCCGCATGCCCTGCAGGGCTTGATCTGACCTTGGCCTTATGGCATCTCACTTGCTTGTTAGCATAGCTTGGCTACAGCAAGAGCTAGACCAGTCCAATGGATACTCTTCTTGTATTCTTGTACCTGTTTCCGCTATGAGCAATGGGCCGGAGTCACCGATGGACAGGATGAGAGCAGGCCGACAGGCTACCGTGTGACTTGTAGTGCATGCATACATGTTATTTGCCTATTCTGGCTCTGGGGTGTATGGCCTTACCCTTGTTGAGCTGCAGGACCTGGTTTGCGGCCTGAAGATCGGCATCATGGCTGATGTGCACAAGTCAGTATTCTTGGGTACAATTGCACAATCAAGGCAGATGCCAAAGTTGCGTCTCGACTATGACTAGTCTGTCAAAAATGTCGGTCGAAATGCTCATATCGTAACTAGGCGACCAACGCCATCCACATTTGGATACCTAACGCAATGTCAGAAGTATTTATGTGGACCAACCGCTGTACATGGTTTAGCCCCTATAAAACACTCAGTTCACACCCGTTCCTCTCAGCCCGGACTGTTGTCTGCGTTTAGCAGCGCACAGCTCGTCAAATCTTCGCTGGGACCGTAAAAAGTTGTATGTGAACGATCCATGCTGTAACCGCTCGGCTGAGCGGTATGCACGAGCTAATGCTGTCGGGCGTAATGGGGCCAAATCGAAGTTCGGAACGTTGCAGAAGGCTTCTTTCGCTAACACAGCCAGTGGAGATGGGCCCAGCTATTGTCACAGCCCTGCAGCTCTCACGCGATTGGGGGCCGAAGTTGTTTGAAACCGCGGCCTTGGCTATATATGTAATGTCAGATTACGCCCGGCCCTAACACCGCTTCGCCCCTACACTACTCAATTCGAGTGGTCCAAGGGATTCCAGTGATAGAAACGTCTCAATCAGTGCCATTCAATCCATGCATAGGTGTCTCATCGTAAATTACTCTGCCCAAAGACGGTCTGTGTGCTTGCTGTAAGGTTTAATTCAGTGCGAAGCCGTCCGGCAGAGCGCTTTGGGTTCCGAAGAGCACGAGACATTTGTCCGCGAAGGAACCCACTCCAGGACTACCTAAAACTTGATACAGAATGCAACTACCATACTGAGCAAAGGATTCGACAAGAAGAATGTGATCGATTGCTTATAGCTCGTCTTCCAAAAACTTGTACGCAAATCGGAAGTCTGCCTTTCTACGGTTCATCCTAGATTCAAAGTTAGCACTGTATCACTTGGAGAGTCTGTCCCCCGAGACACAGAATTCGGTACGGGAGCTTTGCAGACAAAAAACCGAGCAACGAAACTAAGTGCTTACCATGTGCTTTCATAGTCGAAGAATCGGTATGTTCCCTGCTCATAGTCTTCAGTAATTGCTTTTGGTTCTTCGTGGCGTTGAAACCATGTCTGGTACTGCTTATGGAATCTCCAACTCTGTGACTTCAATGCTTTGGCGGCTAGGTACTGTTGATATGTACCCTGGCGGTAATAGAAGGCGTAGAAGAGAGCGTCCGTCTCAATGCGGGAATAAAGACGAGGGTCGTCGAAGATGGGCAAGGGCTCTTGCGGGTAGTGAGCGGGGGTGAATGGATAAGGATTTTGGGGACGGTAGTGACGCGGCACCTCGGTATCTGCAGACTCGGGCGCAGTAGCCATTGATGCCATTAGCATACGCTCATCCGGAGGTTTTGATGCTGAGGCAGAAATATCATTCTTGGTTGCCTCGAACGAATCAAGCAGATCCTGCAGACTGGAGGGGAGATGGTAGACCGACTCTTCGTCTTCATCTTCTGCATGCGATTCTCCGTTCGTCAGTGGCGGCGTAGTAGCTTGGGATTCCTCTTCTTCCACTGGCTCAGGGACAGGCGTTCTTCTGTTGGCCTTGGAGACGTCATCAGACACTGCAGCTTGCAAAGGTGGGTCCTTCTCTACAGGAGCGGCCACAGGTACGCTGGCAGCAGGAGCAGGTGAGGCCTGTGCGGATTCGGCCTGCTGTGCACGTGAGGCTGGTTGGGAATGTGTTATGGCGGGCGAGCTTGTTGCACTTGCACGTGCACCGCCAGCAGCGAGACTTGGTTGGGCTGCAGCAGCTCCTGGTGGTGGTGGCAGTGGAGCAATGCCAACTCCGTTCCTGTCGCTCGCAGCTGCAGCCGCAGCAGCCGATGCATACTTTAATGGCTCTCCTGGCGTTCGTGTTGGTATCGGTGCAGGCTTCATAGCGTTTGCCGTATTATTTGCAGCATTAGGCGAGGGCGTATGCAATGTGGCTAGCGCTGGTAATGGCGACTTCATCTGTGTCGACGACCGTCTTGCTCCTTGTTGCACTGCTTCGGTCGCCTTTGGTTTCGGTGCCGGTGGACGTACTTCTGTGTCGGGTGTATCGTCGGCTATTGACTGCGATTCGTGTGACGAGACATGGTCCAGATTCTCGCCCAGACCGTAGATGGCCTCCTCCTCTTGTAGGTTGAAGTCATCGTATAATGTGTCGTCGTCCATGAACTCGGGGTCCTGATTGCTTTCGACGTAGTACTTGATGCTGTCCTCAATCTCCTTGACCTGTTCCGTCTCAACGCTACCGTTCTCCAATGCTCGTTGGAGCAGCTCCAGTTTGGATTGGTGCCATTTATTCCGCTCAACTGACTCTTCCAGCTCCGACACGCGCTCCACCTTTGAATTGTCGCCCTTCTTTGACTTTTTGACATTAGCGTTCAGCGTCTCGATTTCAGCTTCAATTGTCTCTATTTGCCGCTCGAGCTCTTCGTTCATATGTTGTAGGAATTCGACCACTTCCATCTTTTCTCTGTCCTTGGGGTCAATCTTGGAGGCTAATTGGAGGCCCTCCTTGGAATATGCTTTTGTCTTCATCTCCTTTTCCACGGCCTTGAAGCGCTCCATTTGCTGTCACATGTCAGCTACGGCATCGACCCACGATACGGCAGTCACCCTACTGTCTCGATGAGTTTCCTGTGATCGAGTAGCGGCTTCTTGTCCTTGATCTCAGACATGGCAGCCCATGTCTTGATCTGGTCCCGCGATCGTTGCAGCTTCTTAATCTCCTTCTTCAGCTGGTCTTCGAGTTTCTCCTTCTGCGATGGATTGCCCGTCTGCATAATCTTCTCATATATGCTCTCGAAAGTCGCGACGCCTTCGGCGACCTTCTTGAAGCATTTGTCGATCTCCTGCTGGAGTTTCCGTGCAGCCATGGTCTATGTACAGCCTCGCCGTCAGGGCGGGGGCGGGGGTTGCGGTGGTGGTGGTAGGGGTCGCTTGGGGGGAGGCAGCGAGAGGCAGGCCTTCGGTGTGTGCGAGGACGGACGGATAGGCGAAGAATGTCGCGCGAGTGTTTGTCGTGGGCTGGATGCGGAGAGGTTGAAGGCATGGCATGGGTAACGCGAATCCCTAGGGCTGGCCTAGCGTCCCAGTGTGCCAAGATTGCGGCCGCTAGCCTCAGCACCCCCACGCGCCTCGCCGTTTCACGTTCGCGTTGCACCCTCTTCAGCCTCGTCTCACTTTTGTCGGATACGCAGATTCCCATGCGTGACGTAGTCGCCATTAGTTGCTTTGTTACTCATCGAGCGTAGAACGGCCTGAGCAACTCCAGTGACTGACTGATTGTGTGTGGATAGCTAGCAGTACTGCGGTGCTGCTCTACTTAGCTACTTACCCCGCCATCATGAGGAGTACAGGCCCGGTCCATGTGCAATCAATAATACAGCGACACTAACAATGTCCTAGCTGTGCTGCAGAGAGTCAAATCGGCATCCGTCACTGTAGATGGCCAGCTCATTTCGTCAATTGGCAAGGGCCTGCTAGTCCTCGCCGCCATCTCCAAAGACGACAATGAGAAGGATGTCGAGGCCATGGCTGCCAAGATACTCAAAGCCAGACTCTGGGATGACGAGTCCAAAGATCCTCCGGGCCGCGTATGATCCATCTAAGCCCATCTCTATTCATAGCTCTAACCCTTCCAAGTGGAAATCCAACGTTTCTGATATACAGGGCGAGGTTTTATGTGGTATGCAGCCACCATGCAGCCTGCGAGACGGCCTACTAACTTGTTACAGTCTCCCAATTTACCCTGTTGGCATCAATGAAAAAAGGAAATAAACCAGACTTTCACCAATCCGCAAACGGTGACAAGGCCCGCACTCTGTATCAGGCTTTCTTCAACAAAGTCAAAGCACTATACGAACCCGAAAAGGTCAAGGATGGTTTGTTCGCTGCTATGATGGATGTCGCTCTAGTGAATGATGGACCGGTAGGTTTAGACTATGCCTGCCTGGACGGCGAGGTACTGCTCCAGTATCATATTTTCTGGGTGCACTCTACCCACTACCTCAAGTACTAACCATCCCCTCTAGGTCACCATCCAGATAGATACCAATCCACCCAAGACAGAAGACCCAAGTGCATCTGGCTCTAGCTCCAATAACCCAAAAACGAATAAGTCGCAAACTGTCGACGTCAATGACCGCAAGTAGCACGTATACTCTACACACTAAGCCCGTACTGACTTCACACTCCCTGGCTTAGTTGTCGATAATATGGCCAAGATCACGCAAGAATTCAAGATACCCGTGGAACGCTTAGACTAGAAGTCAATAGATCCAGTATGTCCCGCCACCACTTTTGCATCGACAACATCCCACCGAAGGTATACGAAACCCAATGTCATTCATATTGCCACGGAGCAATCTTTGGTAGCATTGAATTCATGGACTGATTACCGGTCTCAGGTCACTTCTTAGAATGGCCATCCGCCAAGTCAGGCATTTATACCTACCGATCTGTAAAAACAATAGATGTAAGACTGAGCGGCATCAATGCATCTCTTTATCTAGCAGAATGATTCCAAACTTACGTAGCAACACATGCGTTGTAAGCTCTGGCGTCTGTCTGGAAAACACTCTTACATCAGATATTGCAGTGAGACAACTCGCGTGGATCTTCGCATTTGCCAAAATCTGTGACCTGGAGACAGGACGAAATCTTACGGACTGCATTTGGCATCAGTCATTGTCATACTCCTAGTAGCCTGATAATTCAAAGTCCCCCGCTATTAGCACGAGAAAAACATTATCGGTATGGCAGCTTTGACTAAATGAAGTAATCTACGCGAGTAACGACACACCGGTGTTTTCCGTACATATCTTTGCTGACTCTATGCATAGCTATAGGACAGACTGATATCCCTTTTGGTTTGCGCTTGCTGCATACTATACAAGGACACCGTTTTCCGCGCCAATCAACATGATGGGGGTGTGTTAGATGTAAAGCTGTATTGTCGCTGCCTAGACGATAGCCTATCAACTGCGGAGAGCAGTTCTTCGCATGCGTCCAAAGTACGCCGTCTACATCAGTCACCACTGCTAGTTCGTTGTGCTACCAAGTGGAATTCGTACTCGGAATCCTGGAATGCGATTAGCGGGGCGAAGTGGCGATCCCTGGACTATGTTGTTGCCTGAGCTGCGTCTTGCTTAGCTGAGAAACGGACCGACGTTGACAACTACCAACACTATGGATGCGGGGAATTCATCCTGAACTGGCAGCTGGGTCTGATACTCGACAGGTTCTGCGTTGTCGGTGTTTGAACGCGTCATGGTCTCGGTTTCCTTTCCATGGAATGTTCTCAAGCATCTATCGCTTACTGATATGGGATGTCGTGCATATCTGGGGTCAAGATTGATGCCTTGTTTCAACACTAGCCAGATTGCTTTCCTTCTCTCAACCCAACTGTCTCTCTTCATAACGATGCAGGTCGAAAGCCTTTATTCCATATTCTCAGGTGTAGTATTTGTACAACTATCACGAACAACATTCCCTTGACGACGCGTACCTCGCCACTGCATTCCAACGCATAAACCGTAGCGTAGCACAACATGCGATGTTGATAAAACGGTGCGCCTACATGTTGTGGGCCCGAAAGTCATGATGGCTGTTTCACGAGCCGGGAATGCGACACGTGGCCAATCGCAACATTGAAAAAAAGAAAGAGATGACCTGTAAAATCGTCGAGGTCCCGCAATCCTATCGCTCTTTCTCCCCTATTGGGTGCCTCGGAGCGAGATGGGCCCGACAAAAATTAAGGGCTTGTTCGATTATTTCGTTTTGCATTTGCGGTTTCGGGCTAGTTTGGGTTAGTAGATATTGGCTCACAACGCTGTGGTCGGGCGTAACTTGATTAGGATTAAAAACGAAGGGGTTGTTTAGTTGGGCCTCCGTTATGTAGTGATATCATGGTCACGTCGCATTTATGTGACGCTCATGTAATCGGCTGATTCTATGCACTGCATACTAAGCGCAGATAGAAATCACTACATCTAGTACGGTCATGTGGCAGAACGGAGCTTGGGGCTCTGGCTGGAAGTCTGGAAGTACTGCAGCGTGGAAAATTGACCTCCGATTCTTTTCAAAAGGAGAGACTATGGGTTCAGTTGATGCTAGGTCAGGCTTGTGGCTTTATACTCGCACTAACAATACAGAGCAGTGTTTTGTAGCTTCAAAGCGTACGTTTTACCCAACACAGCAGCGTTTTGGGGCTGGGTTTCGATACACACAGTCCAGAACCGGTAAACGAAGCGCCCACCGGAGCCGAACCGAATAGGTCCTAACACGCGACTTGGTGATAGCGTGCTGTGCACAACTTACGGGCGTAAGTAAAGAGGAGGGCGAAGCGATACTCCGTGCACACCCCGTGTGTCGGGGGCACTAACCCCCGAGGACCGGCCATCGATGCCACCCGAGGAGGACTTGCGACTTGTCGAACAGCCTGCGCGCAAAGTCTACTTCTCCGAACATGACAATCATTGGCGGCAGAGATACACACATTTCCCGCCGTCAGGCAACAGCGATGGCCTTGCCAGTGTATGTAAGGTGCCCGCCTGCTCATCGCCGGTTGTCATCTCCGTCCTTCAATGCAAACTCTCCACAGCGGCTGTTCATAGCACTTCGCTTAGATTTTGCCGTATTTCCCGTATAATCCTGTACCCACAAAATCCAGGCCGGCGCGCGTCATTAACATTTTAGGGCCTACGGCCGTCTTACCGAGCGGCTTGAGCTGTGCACTACGTCTCATTGGGTCTAGTCGAGCCCCGATCAAAGAGTGCAGTGATCTAGTCCTACTTGTCCAGGCCCCGTGAGTGGCGCAGAAGGAATCTCAATAATAGTCTGCCAGCTGGGTTCCTTCTTTGTCCTACATCTCTGGGCTTTTCTCGAGATACTTTTATCGCTGCCCGCCAAGCACCAGCGACGACAGTATAAGCTCACCACCACCAGAGCATGGACCACGACGACTCGGCCAAGGCCACCGGCGAGGTCATCTCGAAGGCCATCGACGAGAAGCATGAAGTGGAGTCGGAAAAGGAGTCCACGTCGCCCACGACTACCCTGAGCGATAAAGAGAAGGAAATCATCGACCTGCAGTTAACAGCGCCTACTCTCACAGTTGGCTATTTTTCCTTATTTCGATATGCCACCGCCAAAGACAAGGCTATTATGGCTATAGCGTTGATCGCTAGTATTGCGGCCGGTGCAGTAATGCCACTGATGACAGTAAGTAATGCACCAAACCACCACTACTTCCACGTGCCAGACCATGTTTTCCGGGTCATGTCAAGGCTATGGGTTTCGCCAACTACACGAGTTGGCCGTAATTGTACTGTAAGAATACAAAGCTGACTTGACACAGCTTGTTTATGGCAATTTCGCGGGAAGCTTTACTGGCTTCTCAGTCGATGCAGTTGCAGCCGCCAGATTTCAGCATGAAATTGAAAAATTCACATTGTACTTTGTATATCTGGGCATCGGAGCGTTTGTCACCTCATATATCAGTATCATTGGATTTTCGTACACCGGAGAACGCATTACACGAACGATTCGAGAGCTCTACTTGCGCGCCATCTTTAGGCAAAACATTGCTTTCTTCGACTTCCTAGGCTCCGGCGAAGTCACCACTCGTATCAGTTCCGACATGAACCTTGTTCAGGATGGTATCGGCCAAAAGATCGGCTTGTTCGTCACTGGAGTCTCCATGTTTGTGTCAGCTATTATTATCGGTTTCATCCGATCCTGGAAACTCTCTTTGATCATGTTATCTGCCACTATTGCACTGATATTGATGATGGGCGTCAATGGTACCCTGATGAAGAAGGCGCAAACTCTATCCATCGACGAATACGCTACAGCTGCTTCCTTGGCCGAGGAGGTGCTGTCCTCGGCTCGCAATGTCGCTGCATATGGAACACAGAAGCGTCTTGAGGAAAAATACAGGGTCTTTGTAGATCGCGCAACTGGGTTCGACTACAGGGCAAAGTTCTGGCTGTCGATGATGATTGCTGGGATGATGGGTGTGCTCAATCTTCAATATGCCTTGGCCTTTTGGCAAGGTAAGCGATTTCTGGACGATGGAGAGCTCGGTGTCTCGAACATTCTTACCGTGGTCATGGCACTTATGATTGCGGGCTTCTCCATTGGGCAGAACTTGCCTCATATCCAGGCGTTCGGTGGAGCTACTGCGGCTGCTACCAAGGTCTTCAACACAATTGAAAGAGACTCTCCCATCGACCCAGAAACTGATAAAGGCATCATACCCGATGACTTTGTTGGAAACCTTGAGTTCAGGAATCTCAAGCACATATATCCTTCTCGTCCAGATACTACGGTGCTCTCGGGTTTCAATCTATCTGTACCCTCCGGCAAGATGGTTGCGCTTGTGGGTGCGTCAGGATCTGGAAAATCTACAATTGTTGGACTTTTGGAACGCTTCTATCTACCAATGGAGGGTCAGATCCTCTTGGATGGAAGGGATATCGCCACTCTGAACCTACGTTGGTTGCGTCAGCATATCGCCATTGTCAGCCAGGAGCCTGTGCTATTCAGCACAACCATCTACGAGAGTATTTTGCACGGATTGGTCAATACCGAGTATGCAAATGTATCAGACGAGAAGAAGATGGAACTTATTGAGAACGCCGCCAAGATTGCCAATGCCCACGACTTCATCATGGACCTCCCGGATAAATACCAAACCAAAGTTGGAGAGCGTGGTGGACTGCTTTCAGGTGGACAAAAGCAGCGAATTGCCATCGCTCGTGCCATTGTCTCGGATCCCAAGATTCTTCTTCTGGACGAAGCTACTGCCGCACTTGATACTAGGTCTGAGAGTCTAGTCCAGGACGCTCTCGACAGAGCATCGCAAGGACGAACAACTATCGTCATCGCCCACCGACTGTCTACTATTAAGAAGGCTGACAACATTGTGGTCATGGCATTGGGAAAGATTGTCGAGCAAGGCACTCATCAAGAACTCATCGACCTCAACTCTGTGTATGCAAGTCTTGTGCAGGCTCAAGAGCTAACTTCCAAGAAAAACACCGACAATAGGATATCGCAACTAGGTGATCCTGAGAAACCAACAGGAGGCGAAGCAGACGATCAGAAACTTGCTTTGTTGCGAACAGCGACATCGGCTCCTTCTGAATTCTTGGCAAAGAAAGACGACAAAGATAGGAACTACGGCGCCTGGGAGCTGATCAAGTTCAGCTGGGAAATGAACGAGGGCGAACACAAGGCAATGACTCTCGGACTGATTTTTAGCTTCCTCGCTGGGTGTAACCCCGCCTTTCAAGCCATCTTTCTTGGTAACTCGATCAACTCGCTCTTGTCGCCCGGAACATCGCTCGGCGGACATGGCGTCAACTTCTGGTGCGGCATGTTTCTCATGCTCGGACTTGTCATCGGTTTCTTTTACTTTGTCCAGGGTCAGACACTATCTAAAGGATCTGCTAAACTCGTCGGTAATGTGCGAATCCGCGCTTTCAGAGCCATGCTTCGCCAGGATATGGAGTTTTTTGACGGCGAAACGGTCACTTCCGGAGCTCTCAGCAACTTCCTATCGTCAGAGGCAAACCGCCTTGCTGGTCTTAGTGGATCCACTCTTGGAACTATTATCAGCGCTGGCGCTTCTATCTTGGTCGCCTTTATTGCCGGGTGCTCTTTTGGATGGAAGCTGGCTCTCGTGTGCTCTTCAACCATACCTCTTGTCATTGGATGTGGTTACTTCCGTTTCTACGCACTCACTCGCATGGAGAAACGAACCCAGGAGACATCCGATGCTGCGAGTTTTGCCTGCGAGGCTGCCTCGTCCATCCGCACTGTTGCGACGCTTTCGCTCGAGAAGCATCTCTTGGCCGAGTACCAAGCTAAGCTGGTAGACCAGGGCAAAGGCTACTTCAAGTTTACAAACGTATCAGCCGTGCTCTATGCTACATCCCAAGGATTGAATATGTTGGTCTTTGCCCTGGTCTTCTGGTACGGAGGTCAACTACTGTTCCGTCGGGAGTACACCGTCTTGCAGTTCTTCATTGTCTATTCCGCGATCATAAACGGTGCTCAAGCTGCTGGATCTATCTTCTCCTTTGCCCCAGATATGGGCGAGGCCAAGGATGCTGCCAAGTTGCTCAAGTCGTTCCTAAACCGCATCCCTAAGATCGATCACTGGTCCCAAGATGGCAAGAAGATTGATCGCCTGACAGGAAAGGTTGAGCTTCAAGATGTACGCTTCACATACCCAGGGCGACCAGACCACCGCGTATTGCGTGGGGTTAATCTCACTGCCGAGCCTGGTCAATTCATTGCACTTGTTGGTGCCTCTGGTAGCGGAAAGTCGACCGTCATGCAGCTACTGGAGAGATTCTATGACCCGACCAGTGGTGCTGTACTTGTTGATGAGGTGCCACTGACTGACTACAACCTCCAAGACTACCGTTCACAACTAGCCATTGTGAGCCAAGAAACCACGCTCTACACCGGCACAATCCGCGAAAACATTATGGCAGACAAGGAGGAGTTGGGTGATGACGTCGTCATCCAAGCATGCAAAGATGCAAACATCTATGATTTCATCACATCATTACCAGATGGCTTCAACACGCTCGTAGGCGCAAAGGGTGCTCTTCTCTCAGGTGGCCAGGTAAGTCCTTTTCTCCCTATCTTCTCGCAAAACAGCTACTGACTCTCTCCAGCGCCAACGTTTGGCAATTGCCCGTGCCCTCCTCCGCGACCCCAAAGTCCTCCTTCTCGACGAAGCTACTTCTGCTCTCGACTCCACATCCGAGCGCGTCGTACAAGATGCCCTTGACTCCGCTTCGAAGGGTCGTACTACAATTGCCATCGCACATCGATTGAGCACAATTCAACACGCGGATGTAATCTACGTGTTTGACCATGGCAAGATTGTCGAGAAGGGTCGACATGACGAGCTGGTAGCCAAGAAGGGCGTGTACTATGAGCTCGCAAAACTGCAAGCCATTGGAGCACCGCAGTAGTTTATACCGTTTTTGATGCATAGAGCCATGTTGGACATATATATTGTAATACCTTTTTTCGGCTGGGTATCTGGGCTGGTAACCATATCTAAGAACATACACATAGACGGCCTTGTAACGGCCTTTTTGTAAATAACAGTACACATTGAATTGCACCACTCGGTATTTTGGAACCGCAACCAGAAATTTCTCAAGGCTATTCCTCTTTTTGCATTGCGATGATGACTTCACTTTGCGAACCACGTTATGGGAACATGGTTTCACGTGAGCACGCGTCCATCGGCCCATTTGATAAGACGCGCATGGATCCACGAGAGATACCATTCCAGCCTCTGTGCCAACAAAAAATGCAATATAGAGCGTCAAAGCAGCAAACATGGCCGCATTGAAGTCTGTTGTCTCTATCGAATCCGCCAAGCACAGCTGTTGCCGCAGCCGAGCTCAACGCTTTCAGGCGTCCATCGTCGCATCGACCACCACCGTTCGCGCCTCGCCATGACGGAGCACTAGCACAACAGGCACACTTCTGCGCAAACCCAAGAAGAGGGGAGCCGTAGCCGTGTCTTCAAAAGCACTCTCACCCTCCTGAAACGTCCTTGAAAAATAAATCCAACACACGACTTCGCCCGCGGCGCAAAACAAACAAACAAAGAAAAAGAGAGGAAAACACCATCAACAATCAAACACGAGACATGCCCAAATCCAACGGCTGTCGCACCCTCCTCCTCCTCATCCCACCCCTTCTCTTCCTCTTCCCCACCGCAGCCCTAATATCCATCCTCGAACGCATCTCAAAAAACACCTTCTATTCCAACCTCCAACGCAGCTTTCGCACAGGTGCCTTCCAACTCGTCCTACCACGACCGGGCGGCGGCCCGGACATTGGACTGAGCCTCGACTTCAACCACGCACCCATCCTCGTCATACTCGGCATCTGCGTAATCGCGTACGCGGTAACTGTGCTGAGCGCAGCGGGGATATGGCAGTTGAAGAAAGTCGAGGGCACGTCTCGACATGAGCGGGTGTGGGTGTGGGTAGTGCTTATTGCGAATGTGATTATGATAGGTGTGAGTTTGGGGGGGTTCGGATATGCAACTAGCGTGCAGGCGAGCGATGGGACGTGGAGGGATTACGAGGATGCAGGGAGGCCGGATCAGGAACTTACGCGGGAGACGTGGGCGTGTCAGATTCACAGTTTATTCCCCGGTGAGGGATGGGCGGGCACGGCGTGTGGGACGAGTCAGGCTATGCGGTATTTGCTGTTGCCCATGGCGGTGGCGGCCATGGCGGTGCTGGGGAGTCTATGGGTGCTGGTGAGGGGGAGGGGAGGGCTGAAGTGGTTGTTTGGGGGAAAGGGCAGGTATGCTGGGTTTCGTGGGGCGTATGAGTTGCAGCCTCAGGAACAGGGTACGGTGTATTCGGGGCCGCTGCCGCCTGTGCAGTGGCAGGGACAGCAGGGCCAACAGTGGGCGCCGCAGGCGTATCAACCGTATGGCCAGCAGTTGTATGGTCAACAACCTGCTCAGCCATTGGCACCGCAGCCCCAGGTCGTGGCCCAGGTGTCAAAGTCGGATGCTAATGTTGAGCAGCGCCCTGTCTACCAGTGATGTGCAATCTTGTTCATATTCCAAGCCATATACTTCACCTCTGCATATACTTTTTTTTTACCTGTATTGACCGCTTTTGCGGCATTTGGTTCTACGTATATCTTGTAATTGTCACACGCCTCTATTTCTCACACAGCCATTGTTTCCCTGTTTCACTGCCAATCCGTTGCGAGAAGGAGTAAAGGCTCATCTCACATCCATTTATGCGAACGTCGAATATGGGACTTCACTGCTTGACTTTTTTGAATATCAAAAGTAGTTACTAGCTCCGAGATTACAAACTACAATATTTATACCTTGTGAAGGCCAAATTCTATGCTACTTTCCAATCCCTCAATAAATCACTACAATTCTTTTTTTTCCCCACCCTCACTCACACCCCGTCTGATTAAACCTGACAACCTCCGTCGCATTCGACCCCAACGCTACCGCCCTCTCCACCCACGCCTTGATACTCTCCTCAGCCGGCTCCCTCACTCGACTAAGAATATACAGCGTATTCCACTCCTGCGTCTGCACAATCGCCCAATCAACCGCGTAATCTGTTTCTACATCAGCATCTGCCTCCTTCCCTTTTTCCCTTTTCCCCCTTATACTACTTGCGAGTCTAGGAAAGAGACAAAAGTGAAGTTAAACATAACGTACCTTGAACGATGTAGTTGGGTCCAGGACACACGCTACCCTGTCCCACGGGCGGTGTCCCAGGAAAGCTGACTGTGAATGCGCCGGCGAGTCCGTACGCGGGGGGTGCAGGGGTAGCGGTGCCCTCGATGCTGAAGGTTGAGGGGCCGGCGGATGCGGAGTTGAGGACGCGGACGGTGCCGTTTGCCTGTTCCGTTGTCAGTATTTTACATTAACATGAATAATATCAACATCAACACCGATAATAGTTCGTATGTTGACATTTATTGAAGTTGTATTTTTTTGGGGAGGGTTTAAGTAGAGAGAGAGAAAAAACGCACATTGAGCGAGTAATTCGCAGTCACACAGCGGGCGCCGGCGGTGGGACCAAAGGGTGTGCCGGCGACTTGGTACCAAGTCCCGAGGTAGCTGTTGAGGTTGAAGGTTGGGTCTGGGACGGGGTAGAAGCAGGTTCCGTCGTATTGGGCTGCGACAACTGACGGGTTGGTGGAGTTTGTTGGGGTGTTACGGGGTATGAGGGTGCAGGAAGCTGTGGAGGCTAGGGTGAGGATTGTGTTTTGAATACGCATTTTGAATAAGTATGTATGGAATTAGGGAAGTAGGATGGTCGGAGGGGTTTGGGGAGTGCAAAAAAAACAGGTAGAGTAGGCAGGGTACCGTGGAATTTGCAGTGTGGCATTTATTTTATATTCATTGACTTTTTCTTGCTCTGCAGTTTAAACTTGGTTGCAAGCTTTAGTACACCTAATTGTCGTAGTGAAATTACTAGGCAAAAGCCACATTTCGTTTCCCTACGTACGTAGGAGTCCAGAAAGGAAATGGGAATATGCACGTATCCCGCACGCGAAATGCGGGTGCACGAGAGATGCATTAGAAAGTTAGCCAAGCATATACGCCCGGGCTGTGCTATAGGCTCGGATGAGCCCGGTACCTGGACTATTACTAAAAGGTAATGGACATGCGTAACCGAGGCATGCGAATCGAGTCGTCGATGATGTGGATGCGAGGCTGGGGGTAAACTAGGCGATGGCGAAGGTTGGGTGATGACGTCGTGCGGGCTTGGCAATGGGAGCGCAGGTGAAGTTGCATGCCGTCTGCCGTATTTGACCGTATTTGCAATTGTGGATTCTAGGAGAAATATCTCAGTCGTCGAATATGTGCCGTGCTGCCGTGTAGTCAATAAGTCAGATCATGTCAGGTGCCCTGATCAAGGCCTGACGAATTGTACAGTAAAACTTCAAAAACTAACTAAGAAGCTGCATTGGGTAGCTGGCTGGTAACTGACTAACTTCCTGCACTCTTCTCATAACAGCAAGCGCTCCGCGAACAGCAACAAAATCATCACGGTTTACAATATCACATGAATATAGAAGAATACCGAAGTCGCTCAATGAACAGCGCGTATGCACCTACTGAAACCTCTATAGTTTTCAAGCTCACCCATCCTTCTCTTTCTTTTTCTTTTGCAACCAAAAACGAAAAAAAAGGGGGAAGAAGGGGGGCTCAAGTCGATGATCCAGAAGTTACCATGTGATCAGAAATTCTCAGTTGCCAAACTCCAACTCACAGTTCTTGTTAAAAAGAAACACTTTTCGATAGGAGAAATTGGAGAAGAAGAAGGGCATAGATGTATTATCGCAAGTATCTACTTGCCTACGCGAACTGTCCCTTTCCCCAACACTTTACCCCCACAATTTCCAACAAAGACCCCAAGATAGACAATACGAAAGAAGAATGGCAAAACCCCCCCTTCCCCACGTGGTAGTACAGCTACCGCCACTATTCACTATCAAAAAGGTGTTAATCACCACCACCAGTATTATCAAAAGTAACAAAAAATTTCGTGCCAGCCAACGAGCCCGGTTTCGCGTCAGCCAACGAGCCCCCTTCCGCAACAGCGAGTTGCCCCATAAACCTATAACCCTCGCTATTACGACAACCCTCTGGCATCAGCTTCTCGAAAAACTGAAAAAGATATCCATAGCAATCTTCCACCCTCCAGAAGACAGGTGTATCTGGAGTGCCATTTACCCGCCCCCCAGGCCTTACTACAACTGCGGTAGTAATATCCGTTAGCCAATGGCTTCAGATTTTTTAAACTCCAACTCAAAAGGGGGGAGGAGGAACTTACACATGATCGGTATAAGCTGCCAGTCAGTGCCGTTGTGCCTAACCGCATCGACGTTCGGCGGCTTGTAGTACTTGTTGCCGTCGAGCGGGTAGTCGACAGTTGCGCTGCAGATAGTGCCGTTGGAAAGGCGGTCGCGGAATGCGCACTCGGGCATCATAGCTACACAGGCGTTGTGAATTACAGTTTCGATGGGATCGCTGCGCACGAAGCTAACGCGCCATACGGGGTCGATGCTGGTCTCGCAAAATGATCTGGTGCCGGGCATTGGTTTCCAATCATAGTTCTTGCTCGACATGGTGATCGGGATTGTGTTGATGCGTGAGGCGAGGGCGCTGGCGCTGGCGGCCAGGGCACTGATGAGCAGGGTGAAGTGCATAGTGACTTATGGGTAAGAAGTGTTAAAGTTCTGGATCAGACCGGAGAGAGAGGGAGAGAAAGGTAAAGGTAAGGCCGGGGCTTCCTAAAAGGAAATCCTATTTAAGCGGTCTTAAACTTCGAAGAGCAGAGCAGGAAGCAGGAGCGACAGACGTTGGATAGTAGATGGGGGGCACTACTAAATATTTAGTAGCGAAGATATAAGTTTACATACTAACTAGCGAAGAGTAACCCGTGATATTACAGCAGGGGCAACGTCTCGGCACAACTTATGGGGATGTGCGTAAATCAGGTTCAAGATGCGGAGGTGACGAGACGAGCCGTGCACCTGTAAGAATGACGGATGGTGTATATGTTTCTTTGTTTCGAAGAGGGGCTTTCTGCGAAAGAAAAAAAACAGTCTTTTGTGGGACGGCATGAGCTTGGAGTGACGTGCGACGGGTGTGTGTTGAAACCATGGGCGGAATCTTGTGCATGACGGCGTGCCCTTCAATTCACACCCTAATTGACCATATGAGTAGTATGGAAATAGGGATGGACAGCGTGTGGGGTAAAAAGGTCCCTGCACCAAACGATCGACGGATGTGCCGAGCATTTTCGAGTAAGTAGTGTTCTAAACACCAGCTGACAGTGTCTGTGTATTTGCCCATACAATCGCCCTATTCAATCACTTGGAACGAGTCTGCCGTCTCTTTTCTTCTGTACAGGACGACCAGAGGCTCGTGCACATGGCTGTCAGATGCATCGTTCTCCGCTGATGTATCTTGGCCAACAGACACGACCAAACATTGGGCAGTGCGGCCTGTTTGGGTCATGTTGATGAAACAACGAAGAACGAAAGGGAAGGGTATCATCCGCCAAGACGCACTAACCTTTCCCTTCAATTTCACGTGTTCGCGATTGGCTGCAGTGGCACCGCACTATATCCCGTGGTGCAGGAACTCTAAAAGATAAATCGAAACGAGAACCCATCTGTGTGCGCCTATTTATATTGTAGGATCTGCAAACGCTTATAAAGTTGGTTTCTTGGGGCTGCAAACAGACGAACAGCAACGGGCTTTTACTACTATCCGTGTGACCAAGCCTTTTTTTCATGTATCTCATGATTCAATATCAAAGGCTGCGTTATACGTATGTGACATGTTAGCAAGAATAAACTCAACCGGGTAACCGAAATTACATGCTCATAACCACTTGCTCTGCATGTCTCATCAAAAAACGGCAGTATGCCCAACGCAAGCTACGTGCGTACAGCCACACTTGATGCTGTAATTCCCGCCACTCGCAACTCTCGAAATCAGCTACACCCTTTCTCAGCATTAAGAGTTGACTGTTTTTTCATGCAGGGCGTAAAACCTGGCTTATCAGCGCTAAGTACCCCAAGATGCGGGTCTTTTCTCGATAAGGCGGGCTGCTCTTAGCCACAAGTGGCATACCGCTTACATACAACCACCTCGCTTTTTCGGGTTGATTGGACAGAGATGGGACAGAGATGCAACTTTCTCCACTGGAACAACAGATGCGTTTGGTCAGTCAGCTGCGGCTGGGAAGAGATGTGAGGCAGTCAGACAGGCAGCCGTTCTTATCGTAGGTAGTTATAAAGAAAAGGTATATAGGTAGTCAGCAGTGGTAGTAGTCAAGAATCAAATAAACAACCTCCTCTTCCCCCAACCACACACACGACTAATCCCCCTAACTTGAAAGCCATAATGGCAACCACAACTCCCAAAACCCCATGGGCCGACACTCCCTTCGCCCTCCTAAAAATCCCCGGCACCCCGGGGGCACCCACGAGCTCAAACCCCGGCATCCTTCACGTCTGCATCGAAATGGCAAACGTCCACAACCTGCTTCTTCGCGGGTTAAATTCCATCTACAACCAAGCCCCTTTTGTCACGCTGCCCGGCGACATCTCCGACCTCATGCTGTACACCACCGCATGGGCTGATACCATTCACCACCACCACTCCGCCGAGGAAACGCTATTTTTCCCGCAGGTCGAAGCGCTGGCCAAGGCGGCGGGGCAAGAGTGCGATATGGCGGGGAATGTGGCGCAGCACCAGGGGTTTGAGGGTGGGATGGCGGAGATGGTGGCGTGGGCTAAGCGGGTGAGAGATGGAGAGGTGCAGTATGATGCGGAGGTGCTAAAAGGGTTGATTGATGGGTTTGCGCCGTTGTTGACGCAGCATTTGCATGAGGAGATTGAGACGCTGGTGGGGTTGGAGAAGTGTGATGGGGAGGAGGTTAGGAGGGCGATGAAGGAGACGGCTGATGAGGGGGCCAAGACGGCGGATCCGGTATGAATTTTTTTTCATTTCCCTTTATATTTACCCCTATCTCTACGATTTCTGTCTTTTGAGGTTCCAGTGCTGATTCTTGGGGTGTGGGTAGAACCTTGTCATACCGCTGATCATGGGTTGTCTGGATAAGAACTATCCGGGCAGTGAGGACTTTCCTCCCCTACCGTTTTTTGTGCCTTGGTTGAATGCGTACTGGTTTTCGAGAAAGCATGGTGGGTGTTGGAGGTTTAATCCGAGTGATCACTGGGGAAGGCCACGACCGTTGCATTTTTTGAAGTGATGGAAGGTGAGTGTTTAATGTTGTTGCATGGGTAATGGGCATATTTGTTACGTCTGCATGGGCTTGCAGTAGATTTTTGTTGAATCGAATTATTGGTTGATGCTTGGCATATATGGTACTGGAGATGGATGCCGAGTTCGGTCTTGTAAGCATTTGCTTCCAGCATGATTGTGTAGTCTCAAAGTAGATGGTGCAAGTTGATGGCGTGCCAATAAAACTCATGTCTTAGCCCTATAGATGATATGTCAGTTGGCTCTCAGGTAGTTTCTGAGAATATGCAGTAGTGATTTTAACATCTAGGCGTGTAGAAGGAATCTTGGCGCTTCAGGGCGTTGGTATAAAATACTAGTGGGAATTGCTTGAATGTAATGATTTTCGCTGAAGAGTAGCTCCTGGAATTGGAAAAGTAAGTAGAAGAATGAAAAGCGAGTGAGTGGAAATTTTGGTCAGGCTTGAAGAACATTCAAAGTGAGGCTTGGTAGTAGCGTGGAGTAGTGTGGATGCGGGGTTGATATATGCTTTTCCAGTCGATAAGAAGATTATATCTGCTGATTTCTGCAGACTCTGAAAGTTCCATGGATTTGCACTACCAGTAGCAGTTTTATCGTAAGAAGAGAAAATACAAAAAGATTCCCCTCCATACCCTGCAGACGTCAAGTTGCAGGCGCTAGCACGTGATGCGGTGAGAGGACCCCTGCCAACAGTGCCGAAAGCGCGTCGTGAACTTTCGCGACTCAAGCAGGAGCTCCAACTGGGGAAAGTAGCCACGACAGCAACCCCCCCGCCAAAGCAACTGCCCAACTGTTACCCCTCGCCGCCGAAACCAAGCTCGCAAACCGCAGATTGTCACATACTCGGACCACCCATCACTACCGTCCTCCCCGCCGTCCCCGCCATGGGCTCTCGATTACACAATGCACCGATTGTGATTGACAACGGCAGCGGCACGATCCGAGCAGGGTTCGCAGGCGAAGATGTGCCCAAATGTTTCTTTCCGTCATATGTAGGGAGGCCAAAGCATGTGCGGACAATGGCAGGCGCATTGGAGGGAGACGTATTCATAGGGCCGCAAGCACAGCAGTACAGGGGGCTGTTCAAGATCAACTACCCATTGGAGCACGGCATTGTCACAGACTGGGACGACATGGAGCGGATATGGCAGTATGTGTATACGGAGGGGTTGAGGACAGTCAGCGAAGATGTGAGTGTGGTTGGGGAAGCAGATGCAGCTATTTGCGACTATTTGGAGGGGCACCGAGCTGACTGTCACATTTACTAGCACCCAGTACTGCTCACAGAGCCTCCACTGAATCCGCGCGAGAACCGGGATACGGCAGCGCAGATTCTGTTTGAGACGTTTAATGTACCTGCGCTGTATACGTCTGTGCAAGCGGTGCTTTCGCTGTACGCCTCTGGCAAGACGACGGGTCTGGTGCTAGATTCAGGAGACGGTGTATCGCATGCGGTGCCAGTGTTCCAGGGATTCGCGATACCAAACAGTATCAGAAGGATTGACGTGGCAGGCAGAGACGTTACGGAGCATCTTCAACAATTGCTTCGGAAAAGCGGGCGCATCTTTCACACGAGCGCAGAAAAAGAGACAGTCAAGAATATCAAAGAAGCAACAGGCTATGTGGCGCTTGACCCTGCCAAGGAGGAGAAGGACTGGTCAGGGTCTTCGAGGTCAGAAGGCAAGAGCATCGACTACACGCTTCCGGATGGACAGAAACTGCGGGTGAGTTGTCGACTTGGATGGCGTCGAGGATGGCGTCGACTTTGTGGGACTAGCTGACGGGCCTAGGTTGGAGCGGAGCGCTTCCGAGCGCCCGAGATATTGTTTAATCCGGAGATTATTGGTCTAGAATATCCTGGCGTGCACCAGATTGTGGTGGAGGCCATTCACCGAACGGACATGGATCTACGCAAGGCGCTATACGGCAACATTGTGCTGTCGGGTGGGTCTACACTGACCAAGGGGTTTGGAAACCGGCTGCTCCACGAGGTGCAGCGACTGGCGGTGAAGGACATGCGAATTAAGATACTGGCGCCACCGGAGCGCATCTACACGACGTGGACGGGCGGCAGTATTCTGGCAGGACTGAGCACGTTCAAAAAGGCAAGTGGTGCATGTTATTTGCAAGGGAAGTGATGTGCTGACTGGAGGTATGCAGATGTGGGTGGAAAAGGACGAGTGGCAGGAGAACCCGGACATTATCCATACCAAGTTTGCATGAGGAGTGAATGCTGTGTGACGATGGAGGAGCCGGAGCATCAGCAGCATCAGCAGCAGCAGCAGTTTGGCGGTCCCGCTGGTGCCCGTCTGGGCAGAGCAAGGCAAGGCAAGCAGTGGTAGTGTAGTTGGGAGAAGGCTCGGGGGTCGAGACAGTGGTAGTGCAGCCGGAGTTGCAGTTAGTCATGGAAATGGGAGAGGGGCGGCCGGGGTATTGGCAACCATGGGGCAGCAGCAGCGGGGCATGGGAGGTCGGTTGGATCTACGTGTCAGCCGGTAAGCGTGGCTCGTCAGCGGGAGAGCTACTGTAGTCGCCTGCCTCCCCCGCATTTCAGAGCGTTTCTGTTACTTAAGCGCGATGCGGGTTGGGCATGGTTATGTAAGTAGGACCAAGGGGGTCGATTTGACGAGTGAAGGCATCATGGCAATGAGGAGGGCATGCATGGGTGGCGTTTGCAAGGGCTCGGGAATACCCCCCCAACGAATTATGAAGCGCAGCTGTGTAGACAAGAATGCCAGAGTGAAACGCAGGTTGCAGATGGGCAGACGTGCTCTTTGTTTGGTGTCACACGTACTGTGTTGTGGGTTTGTAAGGGGAGGGAGGGGGCAATGGAAAGGGCCGTGTTGCAGGGCGGCTAGAGTGAGTGAGGGCGAAGAAGACGAAGAGGGAGAAGAAAGGAGACGGTGGGCGAGGGCGAGAGCGAGGGCGAGGGCGAGAGCGAGGGGCGGATGCCAAGGATCGTGAAAAGATTGGAGGCTATGGTGTGATGGGCAAGGTGCAGCGGCCCCAGCTCCCATGCGTGTACCTGATGACACCTGGAATTGGCCGGCCGGACAGAGGACCGCGACACGTATGTAATGTACCGACCGTGTGCCAGTGCAGTCGTCGCCCAGACGTCACGATGCTCGACGTCATGCGCCCTGGCAGCCGTGGCCATAGTCGCCATAGTCGCCCGGGTGGGAGGAGTGTGAGTCGTCCATTGGCGTCAGATCAGTCAGCAGAGAAAAGACAAGGACAAATTTTGCACGACAAGGACTCTCTCTCTCTCTCTTACACTCACACTGCCCACGTCACAGCTCATGCCAGGCACCGCAATGGCCCACTAATAACACAAAATTTCAAAACCGGGCCCTCCGCCTCCTTGGTCGCGCTCCCGCCTCCACAATATGTGGGCATTTTCCCCCCCTTGGGCGAAGCTGCTAGTGGTTGCAGCGGAGGCCGTGTCCGGTGGGTGGCATGGCGTAATGGGGCTCGATCGCACGCGTTGCTGCACCTGACCCTTTCCCCTGGCAATCTCTTACCCCCGAAAAACTGCGCCCGGCCAATCACCGCATTTTGAGGGGGTAATGGTAAACTACTCATGGCGCTGCGAAAATTCCTACTCTGGGCCGGGCGAGGCCACGCATGATCGTTAACTTGCCGTTAACTGCAAAGTCGCTCTCACCCTCCCAAGCCTTGGACCAAGCCTCGTGCGCCTTTGGTTCGTTTGTGTTGCGTGGCGCCGAAAATTCTGGTAGCCTGGCCCTGCACCGGACGTCTTGTTGACGCTCATCGTGACCAGCCCGCCTTGTTTTGTTATATAAACCCTCTTACCCCAGATGCTTTGTCTAGTACCACTACTACACTACTGCCCAGTCTGACTTTACTTGACTTGACTTGACTCGACTCGATCCAATCTACATACCATCAATTCAACCTCCAACACCAAACCACATCCATCAACAATCACCGCCAAAATGGTCAACTTCCACATCAACGAACCTCACCCATCCGCCTCCAACTACATGTACTCTGGTCGCGGCGGTGCCGGCAACGCCATGCGCGTAAAGCCCACCGAAATCACCCCAGGCGCTACTGCCTCTGGCCCTGCCTCGCGCACCAAGCTGCCTCCTCCACCATCAAACGCCTTTTACGCTACCGGCCGTGGCGGTGCTGGCAACATGCGCAAGTCCGAACGTGCCATCTTCAGCTTCGACGAGGAGCTCCAACAGCAAGAGCGTCTGCGCTCCCAGCAAGCCCCCGTCTACCACATTGGCCGCGGCGGCGCCGGAAACCTCGTCGACGAGATGAAGCCCCGAACCCACCGCCAAAGCTCCTCCTCTTCCGCCTCCAGCTCCTCGAGCGTCGAGAGCGAAAAGGACGGTGTCCGAAGGAGCGTCGAGCACGCATGGCAGCGTCTCAGCAGGCAATTCTCTCACTAGACTTTTGCCTGTCTCTCCGCCCCCTTCTGTTCGACTTCACTTCTCTGTCACTATTCAACATTCACCTCTCTACTACTACTACCCTTACGATCTTGATTCGAGAGCTGGTCCTGATTCTCTCTTATCAACCTCGACCTTTTTTTCCAATCCATTAGCAACGGCGTTTCCTCAGAGCAAGTTTCTCCTTGCTCAAACTGTATAACCAACCAACGATCAAAAAGTTTCCTGTTTCATTCTACTACTATTACCACTACCACTCTTACTATTTTATCTTTACGACAACCCAAACAACTACCATCGAGGAGCCAGGCGCTACCCTCCGGTCATATCGAAATCAAAAGTCCCTCTGTTTCTTTTGATACCCGGATCGCACCACTCGTCCTCTGCTCTTGTCAAGAGAAAGGGCTTGTTCCTTTTTTTGCTTTATTCTTGTCTTTTGCTTGGTTTGATCTTTTCGTTTTGGCATGGAAAGCGGTGGATATGCACCATACCCCTACAGAATTCCTTTTTTTGAAGTTTTCCCTAGCTAGCAATTGACTAGATGACCAAGAGTTAATCTACATAGCGGGATTGACAATAATCATGATATGTTCAATTCTTCATCATTTGTCCCTTTTAGTATGATCTTTTTTTGGTGATGTGTACAAAAGTGATCAGCAAGTGCCTCGATTCTACCCTGCCTGACTCAAAAATAAACTTTTTTGCCCCAAGTTCTAAGATCTAGATTTCCCATAAGCCACGGCATCCGGTAAACGAGCGGCCTATTCGAGTCATGTACTTTTTTAATTTTCCGAAGGGAAAAAAAATATTCGGAGTGAAAAATCATGCTTACTAGTAGGCCAGCTGGCAATGCGATTTTTTTTTTACAACACGGCATGACGTATGGAAGCTGCAAAAGAAAAGAAAAGTCATCAAGACAAGGAAAAACGGGCAACTTGCGCAAATGACCACTTGCCATGCATGCATGGCAACCCACGCCTTCCAACCAAGAAAAATAAACAGAAAAAAAAATCTCAAAAATCTCTGCACCACAAGGACCCCTCCCCCCCAAAATCGAAAAACATCCCCTAACCCGTTGACCCCTTCCACCTCAGCCAGCCTCGGCTTCTCCGCCCTCGCTTCGCTTCGCCCTCTTCCCCCCCCACTCCAACTAACCCCAAACCCAGCCCCAACCGCCGCTCCCTAACACTAACCCACGGCAACCACCCCAGACTTCCTCTCTCTCTCTCTCTCTCTCTCTCTCTCTCTTTTTCTTTCCAGTCTAGTACCAGAATGAGCAAATCCCGAGAAAAAAAAAGAGTGTTTAAAAATAAAAATAAAAAATAGAAGAAAAGTCCCCGGAGCTAGGACTGGAAAAAGTGTAGTATGTAAACATATTTTCCGCCGGAGTTTAGTCCGTTTGTCCACACGTGGATATAGAAGGGTGAGAGAGAGAGATTCTAGATTTTTGCGAAGACGGGGGAGGAAGGGGGTGGCGCGTTGAGAAGGGCCTTTTTTTTATTTTAGGAAATACGAAGATTTCCTACGGGAAGAAGAAGAAAAGAAGATGGAGGATTGGATAGTTAGTAGTAACACATTTTACCAAAAAAAAAAACCTACGCCTGCTTCAATTTAGTCTCGTAAACGTATGTGAGAAAGGCAAGGAGATGCCAAAAAAAAAAGAAGTTTCGCATTACAATATATGCTCTAAAAACCTTGGTATCTCCATTTCCACACTTGCTATGTTTTTAAGTTATAACTATCAAGAAAAGAGAATGCTCGAGACACACACACACAGAGAGAGAAGAAGAAGAAGAAGAAGAAGAAGAAGAAGAAGAGAGACTACTCATACCTATTATCAAGTATTCCTCTGTCCACTCCCCCTTCAAAAAAAAACTTTCTTTTTTGAGAAATGCATTTTTCAACCTTCCCCTTCAAAGCAAAAACACACGCTCAAAAAAAAAACTACCTCCTCACAGGCCCCTTACTCGCCGCAGCACTAACCAACATCTTGAACCCATTCTTCAGCGCAACCATATCAGGATACACATGCTTCTGCAACTCAAACGCATTCGGTACCACTTTAATGCCCCATGCACCTTTAGGCCCCTTGGCGCTCATCTGGAAGCAGATCCAGAAGTGACCGGGGTACTTGGGCATGCTGCAAAACGCGTACATTGAGCGAGACGGGTTGGCTTCGCAGTAGTTTTCTAGCCATTTTTCTGTTTCAAGTCAGTATATGTCACAGATACAAGTAGAACACTATGAACATACCGGTATCCTCCCGAGTACCTGGCTGGAATCGCTCGTCTCGGGTGAGCTCCGTGACCTTGCGAGCCATGGCCTCGACGTGATTGACAATCAACTCGTCGAGATCCGAATACGTGTGCTTTCCAATCTTAAGCTGCTTGCCGAGTGAGAATTGGTTGGCCTTGTTCATTTCCAGTACGTCGAGATGTTGATAGGCGTTGTTGGAGACCTTCCATGTTACGACCAAATGGTCGAACCCCTTGGACGACGGCCGGATGACGAGATCGCCCGTTTCCTTGCCACCGAGGTACTCTTCCGCTTGGACTGTGTTGAAAGAGAAGAAGAGAGGGTGGTTGACGACACGGTTGGGTCGGCCAGATGCAACCTCCTTTTCCTTCTCGGCCGCCTTCTTGTCCTGCATCTCTTGTGCTTCGTCCCACTCACCAGCTGCACGGTCGTAAGGCTTCTTTTGCGGTTGTCGGATGAGATCATCTCGAAGCGACAACTGTGCAGTAAGGGCTTTACGGTTGAGATAGACAATACGCGCGCGCACAATCTGGTGACTTGAGTAGACGTGACGAGGCTCCTGTCCGCCACTGCCAACGCCCTCTGGGAACTCTGATTCCGACACGCCACCTTCAATTCCGCATTCGAGTTTGACTTCAATGTGGTCGGGGAATGTTCGCTTGATGGTAACGGGAACAACCATGCCTTCATAGAGAGACTCCTTTGTCTCACCAGTCAGCATGGTGAACATCTCATCACCAGACAGTAGCGCAAAGATTTGTCGAATCTCCTCGTAAGGGTTGTCCAGTTCGGCTCGGATCGTCTCAAGAGTGGCACGCTTGCGCTGTCCGAAATTCCTTTCAATCTCGGCGGCATAGTCTTCCAGAGCCAGGTCGTTGACTAAGTCAGTAGTCTCTTCCCGTACCATCTTTCTGACAACGGCACTAGGACCACCCTCGTCAGTCTCTGCCTTGACATCCTCCTCGTCCATGTTCAGTGCATCAGCGACCATCTTCCGTGCCAGATCGTAGTCCTCGGGATGTACACGTGTGTAGTCTAGGTAATCAGATGACTCTTCAGTCGGGTCGTAAGGAATATACAAGAAACTGGCGCAATTTTGGAAGACCTTGGGGCCCATAGCCGCCTTGAGGTCGCGCGACTCGGATACACCGAGAAGATCGAATCGTGAAAGAATCTCGTCGCTGTTGGCTTGGATAGCCTTGATCAGCCTGTCGGCCTTACGAGGTCCCAAACCGCACACATATGGTATTAGTTTCGAAAGGTACTTGTCGTCATAAGTCTCTGGCAAGTCGATGCCAACGAGGTTGACCATGTCGACCATGGCAGTGTCTAGTCGGTCCAAAAGCTTCTCCTGGGGTATCAAAGTCTGGTTCGGAATGAAAGGAATAGAAACAATGTCGCGGCCGAGCGATGCGTACTCGGCGAGTGGGTTTTGCAGATATCTTCCCAGGGCAATGCAGTACCTTGTGAGCGCAGGGTACTTGGGGAACTCTGCAGCCGCCCTGGCACTGGTGTGGTACAAACGAGCAACTTCGTCGTTGACCATGATGACCTCCAGAGGCTCGTTTCTCTCTTCACCAGTATCCTCATCCTCGTACGCAGGGCCAGTCAGGTTTCGTTGACTGATGATTTCCTGGATGTCCTTGTACAGCTTGCGAGTCTCAACCGAGAAGCCACTGACACCAATGACATCTGGGCGTCGACGCTGGATAACATCAACCAACTTTTCGATATCTTGTCCTTCGGGGATACCACGTTCAGCATTGCCCAGGCGCATCTCGACTAGTCGACCCTGCTCTAGGACACGACCGTCGTTCTCCACATAAGCCCACATGATGGCGTCTCCACGCTGACCCTTGCCGTTGGACAAGCAGAGGACATTTGGAATTGAGCCAAGAGGGGCGCTCTTCAACTTGTAGGGTGCCTGATCAAGTTTGTTGTAGTAGTTTTCTCTCGCTGAAGCCGCAAGCTCATCCTCACATCTGGCACGCAGAGTCTCCTTGACACCGTTTGCAATGACGGTCTGAAGCTTGTCAAGTGCGACGTTGAGCAGCTCCTTACGGAGAGCATTCCACGTATCAGAAACCTCACTGACACCGTCAGAGACGATCTTCTCTTGCAAACGAGCCTTGAATTGTGCGTAGTTGCCCATGGAAATCTTGACTTGCACAAGGCCTTCAGATTCAGCCTTGAGCATCTTCAAAAACAGATCTGGGCGACCCTGAAGATCCGAAAAGGTGACTCTGCGGAGATACTTAAACTCGTAGTAGGGATGATCCTCGGTGATCTTCCGCATGCCCTTGTCAGTGCGAATGCAGTCAATTTCGGCATTCTGGTAGAAGCTGCCACGCAAGTATCGGCGCAACCGCGAGCACATTTGTAGATCTTGGACAAACAGTAGTTTTGTGGACCTCAAAAGGGTAGCGCCCGTTTCCGGAGCTTCGGCAAGCTGATCGGCGAGCTCCTCGACCCTGTATGGAGGGTCTTCAATGGTATACGCGCCTCTGCTCGTTCCATCAACCTTCTTCGCAAAGTCTTCGGGTGTGATGCCAATTGCCTTAACGAGTTGATTAGCCTTGCTGCTTCGCAGCTTGTCGAAGAAGCTTCGGGCGTTGTTGGCACGCTTCTGTGTTCCGTTGACTTCTTGTCGAACCTCGTTGATTTCCTGAGAGTATCGGTAATGCAGATAGTCTTGGAGCTCTTGGATTTCTTCAATGGTAATGGCCCTGGAAGACAACTCGTCAATCTCAGTGTCGTTAATTTCAGGATAGACGCTCTTCAGGTTCTCGTAGTTCTGCCTGAGAGCATCACGCTTTTCAGCAAAAGCCCTGAACTTGAGGTCGAAATCAAATACCTCCCACAAGTCGGCCTGGTTGAGCAGACGCTCTGGCCGAGCATCCATAGGTGGCGGATTGTCTATATCATCAAAATCATTGTCGCTCGGCGCATGAATGAGGTAGTCTTTTCGGTGGTTGAAGATGAAGGGAACTTCATAATCTTCCAGGTTGATAAACTCGAGAACCTTTCGCACAGCCTTCTCAAAAGGCTGCAAAAAGTATCTTGGAAGACCCTTCTTGGGCCACAGCATATTACTGATCCAGGTTGCCTCCTCGGTCAGACGTGCCTGCATGTCCTCCGGTGTGAGCTCAATCTCTTTGAAGGGCTTTCGGGCTAATTGCAGGCGCTCAGGAATATCGGTTTCGCGGATGATGTTGTCTTCATCCGTCAACATACGCTCCTGCAGTTGTGATGGTTCGAAGACGTCCTTGAGTTGCAGTTCGCGGCCATCGCCGGCTTGCTCGTCCTCTTCGGCCTCTTGCATTTCCAACGCCCAGTCGTAATCTGTGCCATCACCAAATGCAGCTCTGTAGTCTTCCTCGGCACCCTCATCGAGTCCAGCAGCTTGCAGCCCCTTGGTGATTAGATTTATGCCTGGTTGTGTGACGTCGCGGTCATCTTCGATTTCGTCTTCAAACTTGTCGTCCTCAATGAAGTCGTCAAACTCGTCGCCCAACCGGGCCCGCGGCTCATCGTAGTCTTCGTTGACTTCGTCGTCGGAAAAGATGTCGTCGACACCCCGGGACTTGACGCGCTCCTTGTGACCACGCTTGAGGCGCTTGAATCTCGACTTGGCCAATGTCAGTCATGTCCAGGCTCTAGCAGAGTATGTCTTACCTGTTCTTCGGCCGGGCGTTCTACCTCGACGCCGATCAGGTCAAGATCTTCGTCGTCGAGAGCCTCTTCGGCCTCGCGGTTCTTTCTCTTCTTCTTGCGCCGGCGCCGGCGCTCTGCCACTTCCTCCTCCTCTTCGTCGTCGTCATCGGCGATGAAGCCTTCGCCTTCCTGTCCATCTGTCAGCATTCCTGGAGACATAGCTTGCCATGGCGGAGCTTGCCTGTCGCAGTCGGTCCTCATCATCGTCGTCTTCCTCCTCGCTGGAGTCGTCGATGCCGGCTGTGCCATTTGTCTTGCTGGGCCTGGGCTCGCCACCCTCACCAGTCTCGCCATCAAAGTCCTCATCCTCCTCCTCATCGCTGCCGACGTCGGCGATTGTGTCGAAGAATTCAGACATGGCTAACTAAACAAAGGGAACGCGTGAGTTGTGAGATTGGCTTCGACGGCGCTCTTTTTGGGGGTTCGACGAGCGCTTGGCGGTAATGAGATTAGGCGACTATGGCGATCAGGCGGAAGGGAAAGTCGGGCGCAATCGAGGTAAAGGAGAGAGGAAAGGCAGATGTAGGCTCTCAGAGGCTCGCGACCCATCGGCCGCGTTAACTTTCAGCCGCACTGACGCTGTGCACGTGATTTCCGCGCTAGGAGGCGGAAAGGCTACCAAACCAGATGCGCCATCCTTGGCTGTGCATGCCGCAGCCACACGTGTATTCGAAAGCCACCATCCCATCATGCACTCTTCATAGTGCTTTGAATGTATGCTTCCTCATCATGCAGTGCCAGCATGATCTATACACGCACAGCAACTTGATCTGGGTAAAGCATTGTTGGCATCTGATAAATCGCCGCGTCTCAGCTGTGTTCAGATACACTTGTATGCTACTGGCCGCATAGCTGGAGACATGGCCGATTGCAAGCACACTTTTGGTGCGTTTCCTCGTCCGTAGCAGTCATGACTACTCTATGCTACGTTCCGATACAACACTCGTGTTCATGAGGCGTGTTTGAAAGAAGATGTGCACTAGCAGCAGGTGAAGCATCGCCACGAGCAACCATGCGACTCTGAAACCTCCTGAGCGATGCATCGTGTATGTCTTGTCAGCCTCTATATATCAGAGACGTAGCCCTGGCAGAGCCAAAAGTGTCGCCCGCTTCTTGCCCCCCAGCACCAGCTCTCTCCAAGTCTCCAAGTTGCCCGACTATCGCATCGCACCAGCTGCAGCCTTGCAGAACCAGTTTGGAACGCCGCTCCATCTGCCCCCACCTGCGCGCGCCCCGCTAGCTCGAACACTGACACGACCACAACCCTCTCTCCTGACTTCCCCAGCTGCCAACCTTCCTCCGAGACATCGTGCTTTGCATAAAACACCAACCTCCCAATCAATCCCTGCACAGTCTTGCCCGTGCAAACTGTCGCTCACCCGTATCCGAAGGGGTAATCCAATAGACGCTGTCCTCCTTTCAGCCATAGCCGTGATTGGCGTACCACTGTCGACACAGCTTTGGGCGGCAAACCCGAAACAAAAGCCAACACTTGGGCTCTTGTCCTGCGAGATACATCCTTTCTGACCATATATCCCGAGCCTTGCAATTGCTGCATTCTTTCTACCCGCCTTCGCATCATACCGGCGCCCGGCGCAAACCTACAACATGGCAGAACCAAATTTCAAAGGGAAGACGATGAAGAGGAAGAATGTCAAGGGTCTCGCTCTCAGCGCTCCACCACCCAAGCCAGCACCTTCGGCTGGTGATGCCCAAATACCCGGTGCCCGCGCCAACGACGAGAAGCAGGACACGCTGGAAATCGGTGTTGAATTCCAGCTAGACCTCAAGGCAGAGGATTTGATAGTGCTGCGGGAACTGGGCTCAGGAAACGGAGGAACAGTCAGCAAGGTGCAGCACGCTGCCACCAAGGTCATAATGGCGAGAAAGGTGAGTCGGACGAGCAGGCGGGGTACATTAGAACAAAGAACAAAACAAGCTGACAAGGGCAGGTCATACATGTCGAGGCAAAGAACGAGGTCCGGAAACGAATCGTACGAGAACTCCGTATCATGCATGACTGCAATTCGGATTATATTGTCGACTTTTACGGCGCTTTTCAAAACTCGTCGGGCGATGTCATAATGTGCATGGAATACATGGACGTGGGGTAGGCAAATTTCCATCCACGGAATAAACTTAGCAGGTGCTGACTAGCAATCACAGCTCGCTCGATTGGGTCTCCCGAACATTTGGACCGGTTCGAGTCGACGTACTCGGAAAAATCTCAGAAGCCGTGCTCGGCGGTCTCGCATACCTATACAGCGCCCATCGCATCATGCACCGCGATCTTAAGCCGTCAAACATTCTCGTAAACTCAAAGGGCAACATCAAGCTATGTGATTTCGGTGTATCGAGTGAGCTGGAGGGATCCATTGCCGAGACGTTCGTAGGAACTGGCACATACATGGCACCAGAGCGGATACAGGGATCGCCCTACACTGTCAAGTCAGATGTGTGGAGTGTTGGCCTCACGCTCATGGAGTTGGCCATTGGCAAGTTTCCATTTGCTGGAAGCGGCGACGACGACGAGGCTGGGGGTCCCCAGGGTATTCTTGACCTTTTGCAACAGATTGTCTTGGAGCCTTCGCCCAAGCTTCCGAAGAGCGACGCCTTCCCTTCAATTTTGGAAGACATGATTGCCAAGTGTCTGATGAAGGATCCAGCGGAGCGACCCACGCCCAAGGAATTATACGTAAGTCCACCGTCTACCGCATACAACAGTAAATACTAACAACACCAGGATCACGACGCCTTCCTTCAAGCCGCCAAACGCACACCCGTCGACCTAGAAGCCTGGGCCATTTCCATGATCGAACACAACAAGCGCAAATCCCACCTCGCTCCCGCCGCCCCCGCCGCAACCATCAAAGAGAAGCTGCGCGAGCGCTCACCCCCTCACAAGCGCGAACCCAGCGATCCAAGGCAAAGAGTTGCTAACGGAGACGCCGAAGCAGCACCCCGCCGCCCCTCATATCCCAGCCGATCCTCCAGCAGCAACAATGTCATGAACTTGCCCATGCGCCCGGCCCCCTCTGTAGACGGCTCCAACAGCAGGCCCGGAAGCAGGGGTCCCTCTGCAAATGGTCTCCCAGCCCAACCTCGGCGGTGGAATAACGAAGTTCAATAAATTTGACTCTCTTTCTTGAATCGAACAGTAGTATATATATGTATACTCAGCACATTCGTTGTTCGGGGGCGAAATTTTCTTTCCTTTGAAGAAAAAGAAAATGCACATTTTTTGGTTACCCCGTTGCCCATTAATACTGCTGTTCGGTCCGGTTTCTTTTGGAGGGAAGGGGAGGGCTAGAATGGGGAGTGTGTACAGGGAGACTTTATATGTATGAAAGATGGGGTTTGGAGAGGGGTGTGTATGTGGGTTGGCTTGTTGGGGTGGTGTGATGGTTGGTGTATATTTTCAAATATCAGATGTTCAATTCAAGATCTTTTTTTTTCTCTTCTCCTTCTTCATTTCGTTGTATTTGGGTTTTTGTGGTGGTGTGAATGATGTGTGGGATGGGAAAGAGTGGGCAGATGATTATGCTGAGATTACATTTGTGTTGAACTTTTTTTTTCTTTAAGATATTGGAAGTATGCAGATCTGATCTCTTTGATTTGGCGATATGAAAGATGTCACGAAGGGGAAAATTGACGACAGAGTATGGATATTAGCCAAAAGTTTTATAAAAGAATCCCCATTTCTAATTCCATGTTTCGCCATAGTATTCCCACCTGTTTCGCAGCCCCCACTGTTTAATCCACCAGATGGTACTAACCCAGTATCCAAAATCATCTTTGCTCGCCTACAGTAAGTCTAGAGGACAGCATTTGAGAATGTAGGTATTCTAAGAGTACTAGATCGCACTGTTCACTGGCGATTTCTCAACTCCTCGACGTCCCTCTTCTTTGTTGTTATTGTTATCATATTCGCTCTTCCTGATATGTGGATACCCAATCACTGCGGCGCGTTGCCGTAGTCGCTGTTGCCATCATGCTCCGAGCTCAACCTTCCATGGACGATAGCCTTCACATGATGTTGTGCTTTCGTTTGTATTCTCTCAGTATCTTCCAGTTCCGGTTCCACCTGTTCAGTCGGACCATTCTGCTTACTTCGACGCTTATGAGATGCTTCATTCCTCTTGGACGGGACATACCGGGATACATGAACAGTTCCTTAAATAGTGCATCCGTGTTTTTTGGAATCGGGATGTTTGGATCCGGGCGACGGGTGAGAAAACGCCTCAATTTTCTGAACCATGCCTCTATAGTCTTGTTTAGTTTCATGATCGTTATTCGTACAGGATAAGACAAAAACATAATCTTTACTAGGCCCTCTGGATATGTGTGGCGCACACGATCAACATATGCTTCATAGAAATATTGGTTTTCCTCTTCCCCATAATCCAATGGCCAATCGTCCAGCATCTTCCTTTCGAACTCTGGATTGGCAGCGATTCTCTCGAAAAGTTGGTCAAGAGACTCTTCTGCAAGACAACCAATAGGTGTTGTGATCTGGGTGCGCTTTTGAATATACGAGATGTTCTTGAAAAAGTCGTTCATGAAAGGCTTCCATCGGAAAGCTAACGTAAGGTTGTCAAAGTCCAGGCTAGTGTACTTGAGGGGCGTGTCATTGAAATAATATCCAAGCTCTACTCTATGAATATGACGCTTGAATTGTGGCATTATATCATGAGGAAATCGATATGCCAGTAGACCGGTAACCGTCTCCCTTAAGCTACTGTGGTTCCCTGAATAGTTTCCAGCTATCGGTCTGCCGTTGTTATCTATATCGCAGAGACAGGAGTCAATCTTGATCTTGTATATGACTTCTTGGCTATCTTGAAGAAAGCACTGGAGACTTTCCGTAAAGATTTCGCAGCGGTAGCAATGTGTGTGTTCAGTAATCGAATAATTGCAACTAGCCGACAAATAGAAGCTTAGTTTTGGGAGCTGTGTCAAAGCAAACTCGCATTCTGCCTCTGTTCGGAAGACGCGTGACACCTGGCGACAGGTGACCCAGAGTGTGAACTCATCGTCGACAAAACTAAGTATAAGTCCCCAAATTTCCTGAGGTATATTGCCTGGCGTTGCCTGATATACTGGTGCCGACGCTCTGTTTCTCATCAGTGTTGGTCATTACACTAACAAACATTTCACTTACACCGTGTCGTTGATTCCAGGATCTTTTGCTAGCTTTGCCATCTTCATATACTGGTGTCGTTACTTGATTGAATATAAGGGCTATCCTCAACTCGCAAGCTCCTGAAGTAAGGTTGATGAGAAGCAATGCGGTGGGAGAAGCAGTATAAATACAAGTCTCTGAATGATGGTGTTTGTGGGCATGGTCAGTGCTCCCAGTCACCAGGAAGGAAAGAGTGATGGAAAGTACGTCACCTGATGGAGACAAACCAAGCATAAATCACGTAGAAGGAGGAAGATTCACAAGGGAAGGACATTGGAATACAGCGAGGGAGCTGCTTTTAGCACCTGGGTCACCAAACGCAGCTCAGTCAAAGAAGAAGGCTCGTAGTAGTAGGGGTACTAAGAGGGCTCAACTAAGTGTACGGCGCTGTGGGAACTGTGGAGAGCCTGGACACTACGCTACAGTATGTGTAAAGGATACGAAAGACTTTTCTGAATCCAAGCTGAGCGAGCCTGTGAGTAATCATTAAGGGATGATAGTAAGGATTAAGGGCCTGTTCGGTTCAGCGTTTTGCGGTTGCATTTTTAATACCTGTTAGGGTATAGAGCTTCGAAAAGGGGATAGCCTGGCTAGCGATTAGATTGGGCCTATCTGGATGTGGATAGCGAGTGAACAAGCTACTCACGTGATTTAGATGCACTACCAGAACCCAAAATCGCCATCGATCTAACCCGTTCACGCCTCAAGACATTCTGAGCCCAACTACTGGCGAAATTCTTGGTCATATCTCAATGCCACCGTTGTTTAAGGTCGATCAGGTTCTAAGAGGACACAAATTAATATACACTGTTGTGAAGGAGGTTCATAGAGCATTTGACGAAGCTGCTGTATATCTGGCCAGGTGAGAAATCAATACAGTCAACGCGCTTTTTCAGCATGGCCACGAAACCCTCTTAATCTTTTTGTGGACTGCAGGGATCAGAATAAAAACAATTGTATTGTCAAGAGCGTTCGCGGCCACTGGCGCCTACAGAACGAAGCCGATATCCTAAGACGTTACCAGTCAAAGATGCCGTTCCTTCACCCTATCATGGATGAGGTTATAAGCCCAGCCGATCCACCCTCTATCGTTTTGAGGCACCTGGACAGTGAACTTCTCGCGGAATCGAGGAAGAAACGGCTTACGCGCCCCGAGATTAAGCAAGTAGCTAGGTGTATTCTTGAAGCCCTACTCGTCCTTCATAAGGATGGCATGGTTCACACAGGTATTCAACGTCATTCTTATCGTATTTAGAGTCTCCTCATTCTCACATATCTTGTAGACGTCAAATTGGATAATGTATTTGTTAACTATGGCCAAAACGAGCAGCGGTTCTCGGAAATTCAACTTGGGGACTGTGGAGGTGCGGTTTCTAAAGACTCAAAGTTCGCTAAGGAGTGACATGTTATCGGAGGTGCCTTCACTCGTTCGGCCCATTCCAAAGATCAATGGCCGACATCCTCAACCCGGTTGCTCTTGATGTCGTCTTCTTCTTGAATTGGCAAGGGAACCCACGGAAGCCGCTTCAACGGTGGCCGATGAAGGAAACTCCTTCTGCTGATAACGAGTTTATAAGGCGAATCTTACAGCTAGACCCTCGGGAAAGACCAACAGTGGAGGAGATTCTCGAGGACGAATGGTTCATAGAAGAATCAGATGATACCCGGACACCCATACCAAAGGGGACAAGCAGGTCAAAGGATGAAGCTGCTAACTAGTGCTAGGCTTATGTCACAGCCTGTCAGTATGAATGTGTGTGAATGGAGACGGGTCGGCGGGCGAAACATAGTCTAAAAACTACTAAACAAGATATGGTGACAATTCGACTACTCTGAGGTGCATGACATGCTTCCTACCAGCACTGAACGAAGGTGGTGTAGCGTTTCAACAAGGAGAAACCAAGGAAGCATCTTCAGCGCTTCGACTTGACATCTCCTTCCTGCAGATCGGAATATCGAAAGAAATTTGGTTTGAAAACAAAAACGGTCTTCAAATTAACCCAGTATATTCAGTGATTATGATGAAAGTGAGGAGAAATCTGCGACAAATCACAATTCAGCTTGGAAACATTCCATATACAAACGACAAAAATTCATTACAGGATATTATCGTAGAGGCATCACACTAATTCACGGTAAAATCTTCCTTCCCTACACTTTCTACTAAATCCCTGGCGAAATCACCTCCCATAGATACCCCGTTTCTAAACAGCATGAGGTACCGCTTGTATCCTCATACTATCCTGCCTTAGAATCTGTCGCTGTTGATCCCTCACAAGTCTCATGGGTCCGCGGTAGAACGCTGAAAGCAAATCAGTGATGTTGATCGCATCGACGATTGCATTCAAGGGCCCTGCTGCAGGTCCACCTTGGGCCTTGTATGGGCGCGGGGAGAAGGCGAAGACGAGGAGGATAGCGAAGAGGGGCATTTCGCAGGCGAGGATGAGTGAAGCGAGTCCGGTGTTGACATCATGGAAGGTCATGTACTCGGTGGGTTTGAGTACGCCGTGACCAGCGAGAATGGAGATGATAAACTGAAGGCTATATTAGCATGCTTACACTGGATGCGTATAAAGAATAGTGAGTCCGTACCGACTGGAGAAAGTTGAGACCAAGAACTCCCTTGAACGTCATAAGCTTGAGGAGGATACTGTGCTTCTGCAACAACGTCTTGTTCTTCTTATAGAACCGAAGCGAGCAGATTATAGCGACCACAGTAGTGTACGCGTTCAAGATCGTGATCCAGATATGGGCAAAGTGTACACTGTTGGACTGCTTGCAGTATGTGCCAGCAGCCAAAGAGATGGCAGTTGCAACCCAGAGGATAATACTAGTAGGAATGAACTGGAGCACACCGTACCATGTTTTCTGTTGATTGTCAGATAGTGTCCAATAAACCATAAGCAACGAGACAAGATCTTACCCTCAACCACGCTGGACTCTGAGCTTTAAGCTCCCCTTTAGCCCTCGCATCCTCCCCAAACAACGACTCGTACCCCCCTGGATGTGCAAGCACGAGATCGCACATGAAGAGCAAAAAAGACGACAACGCCATCGCACACCCGAAATCAAGCGAGTGAGCCAGATACTCTCCTATCCCATCCTGCCATACGATGAGGAAAGAGAATATAGCAACCCAAGGAATAAGCGAAACGATTCGAATGACCTGACGTTGCTGCACCGGATTCGAGTAGTTGAAAGCGTGGAATCCAATCAATACAGCAACAATAACAGTACTGAGGATAGCGCAGCCACCAGCAAGCATAGTCGCAAATCGATGAAATGTAAGTTCGCCAACGAAATACCGAATCTCAGGACCTTCAGTGTTTTCCTCTGGGCAGACGTGCTCCTTGCCTCGCCGCTCTAAGTGGCTCCTAGCCGCGAGTACGAGAATATGCATAGGATTGCTGGACTCCATAATATCGAAGAGAGAAAAAGAAAACAACGGGAGAAAGCGATGATAAATAAACTAAAAGACGAAAAGATATTTGGAAACCTTGAATATTGTGATGTCAAAGCAAAAGATGAAACTAACTTCACCACTCGCACCCCCAAAGGCTATATACTCCTCCGCCATCGTCTCCCCAATTCAACAAAAAGGTAGATCACCAACTCGGTTCTGCCAGTTTTAGCCACCACAAGGCATACCCATCGAGGCCTCCAACCCCGCCGAATGGGTTTCGCGTAGAATACTGCGTTAGGCAATGAGCAGCAATTTGGGCAGCTCGCCTTAGCAAAGTCGCAGCTCGCCTTAGCACTGGAAATAACCACCCCCGTGTGCTTTCGAACGTGGCTTGTTCCCACCCGTGCAGAGGCTTAGCAAAGAAAATGTAGGTAGCGGTATGCAAAAAGCCACGTTGATACGGCCGTGTCGGGATGATAAGGTGCTGTGGTTTGAGCGGACCCGCCGATACGAGCGTCGTCTGCGTGAGTGAGACAATCTGGGGTGCCTAACGTTTGATTGGAGTGGGCGTGTACGGTGTAGGGAGAGGGGCCACGCTAAGCATTCGGAGATGCGATTGGACAACGACATGAAGATGGCTGTGCTGCTTTGGGAACAGGGTCCTCCCCAGCTCCACGTCTGCAACGTCTGCAAACTGCACTGCAGCGATTGATGTATCTTTCATTAGTTCATTCCTCGAGGCACGAATTAAAATCCATCATATCCACTACAAAACTAGGCATGGAGGAAGTTGACTTTGGCGGCGTCATTGTCATTTGATTCATTTTTGTATCAGTGCTCCTGAATTGAATGTCGTCGAGTCTTGCGAAGCCAGTATACATCTAGTCGTCTCCGCCGCCTATTGGGCCACTGACTTGCTTCGCGGACTTCGCAGCTACAATGTCGTCTACCCTCAACAGCAGGCAAGCGCTCTCGACAGCGGTCTTGATGCTCTGTTCCTTGACGGCTAGAGGTTCCCACACGTTGTATGTGTGCATGTCGACAACCTTGCCAGCATCGCCGTCAATACCCCAAGAGCTTCCACCGTGTCTGCCGTCTTCATAACCCTCTGCATGCTTTGCGCGCAGTTGTGTGAGTACCTTGATTGGGCTGTTTCCGGAGTTCTGGATCAGTGTGCGGGGAATGACCTCCATGGCTTCAGCAACCGCCTTGTACGGCCACTGCGCAACACCCTCGACAAGCTTTGCTCTCCTGTCCAGACCGACGGCAATAGCCATCTCAGTCGCACCACCACCTGGACAGAGCTTGGGGTTCCATATCACGTTCCTGGTGACCCCCATAGCATCGTGTAGATTCCGTTCAATCTCATTGAGAATGTCTTTCGAAGGACCCCTGAGCATGATGGTGCAAGCCTTGGGGTTCTGGCACTTTGTGAGGAACGTGAAGTACTCGTCACCAATCTTGGAAATTTCGAACAGACCGCACTCAGTACCGATGTCTGAGGCAGTAGCAGAAAAGACAGAGTTGACAATTGTCGCGCCTGTTGCACGAGCAATACGGTTGTTGTCTGTCTTGCGGACGCGGCGGATAGCGGTGATGTTGGCCTTGACGAGGTAGTGCTGTGCAAGGTCTAGTCCAAGTTAGTAAGCATTAAATGGGAAGGTGCGTGCAAGACAACATACCACTGACGCCCTTCTCAGTGATGACGAGATCGGGCTTGAGAGCAATGATGGCATCGCACATGGCCTTGACCTGCTCCTCCTCGATTTGCAGTATCCTGTTCCAGTCCTCCTCTTTGCTGACCTCAATGTTGGTCTGACTCTCGCCCTTCTTGTACTCCAGTGTGCAGTCCAACAGCAGGACGCGAGGGTTTTCGATTCTCCTCCTCATCTTTGGGTGTGTGATGTCCTTGTTTACCATGACTCCGTCCAATACCACGCTGTCTTCAATCTCGCCGCCAGGAATCTTCTCGATACGAGCATAACGCTTGATGTCGACCTCCTTCTTGCCAGCACCGATATCAAGGGAGACGGTGCGGACGGCCTTGAGGGCGAGACTGCACATCAACTTGGACCACCGCGAGACAAACTTTGTGCCGATTGACGAGTTGATGATCTTGAACATTTGCTCATCGTCGTCGGTGTCGACTTCGACGGCAATTTCGTTGATGATTTCGAGGGCATCGGCGAGGGCCTTTTTGAATGCTTGGATAATCACGACGGGATGGATGTTGCGCTCGAGCTGTGGCAGAGCTTGTGCAAGGATCTCTCCGGCTGTTTGCTATCAGCTTTCTGCATTGACATGGCCGCAATTCCTACGCACCCAATATGATGACAGTGGTTGTGCCGTCTCCGACCTCCTCATCTTGTGTCCTGCTGAGCTCGATCATGCTCTTGGCTGCGGGGTGTGCGACTTCGATCTCTCTGAGGATGGCATGGCCGTCGTTGGTCAGGACAATGCCACCCATGGGGTCGAGCAGCATTTTCAGCATGGCCTTGGGTCCAAGACATGACCGGATAATGTCTGCGACCGTCTTGGCTGCTGTGATGTTGGAAAGCTGTGCTTTGCGGCCGAACTGCCGCTCCCCACCTGGGGTCTGCGTGTCTGGTGTTGTGTTAGTGGGCTGTCAGGACTTCCAATGTTTTGGTAACCTACTCATAACCACCACTGGCGCCTGCATTTTGAAGGAATAGACTGGGAAGCAGTACAGAGAAGAAGGAGGGGCTCGTGACGAGAGTTGCGTGGGGTATCTTGCGTCTGGTGCCTTGCAGCTCCTCCGCTAACTTTTGCTACCAAAAACCGCGTCGCAACCGCCACTATGCCGGCGCGGATTATCTGAGGCCGACGTCAAGCCACAGGGCCGTGGCGCCACAGATGGCTGAGTCAGCGAGCCTGACTTCAGCTGAGCGCTGAGCCAGGAAGACCCGGCAAGTTCCACCGACAGCGAGTCGGGCCGGCCTTACACACAGCTCTTGGCGCCTGTCGGGGTCGCCAAACCTCGTCAGCCGGCCAATGCACGCCTGACCTGCCCTGGACGCTGCTAGCCGGACCACTTTACGCTACATTCTGCCGCTCCTCACCGCATCGCCGCCAGCCTCTCACGGGACTTGCGCGCAGCTTACAAGACCGCTCTGGCGCCCTCCAGACCGTCCCTCCTCCCTCTCACTTTCTCGCGCCAGCCCTTCCCACGCACCCTCACACTGCTCCCTCGCCTCGACTCCTTCATACTTGAACCCCTTCCTCCCTCCTCTTTTCTTCCTTCCATTCGCACCCATCCTTCATCCTTCATCTACCATTGCGCCTCTCACTCTACCTCTCATCATCTACTCTATCATCGCCGTCGCTACCAGTGACACCAAGGAACATCTCGTCGCGTGCTTATTTCCTGTCTAGTAGTTGCTTTGCACATCTTTGTATCCTTACATCTCTGTCGTTCTAATCTACTAAACATACAGCATGGGTCTCAACTACTACGCCTCGTCGCCAACCGTGGTCCTGCCGCCCCAGCAACCGCAGGGCTACTTCTCCCACCACCAGAACACCGCCGCATCACCAATGGGTAATTTCCGCCCCAAATACCCTACTCCACCCTCGCTCAACTATCTAGCCGCCGTCTCCAATGCCACCGCTGGGCGCAAACGATCCATCGCCGACGTTGACGAGCCCGAGGAGAATCTACCCGTCGGATCCATCGTCACTCAAGCACCTGCGAAACCGAAGCCCGAGCCTGTGTATGGCCCAGGTATGACGCTCATCTACCCTGGCGAACCTGGCTATGCATTGGCTGCCGAGTCGCAATCGGGCACCTGGTACGAAGAGAAGATCGAAAAGGAAGAGAAGGCTGAAGCTGCTGCTCGCCCCATTGCTATATCGCGCAAGTCGGTACGGATGAGCCCGTCCGCCAATGTCGAAGTTCCCTCCCTCAACGACATGGATGCTCAGAAGACCGAAGAGCTTATCGACGACAATGGCACCACCATCAACAAGCTCATCTCGTCGCTTGGAGTGGGCTGGAAGAACGTCATGTCCAACCCAAACCTCCGCGACGCTGCGCGCGCATACTCGCGTGTCATTGAACGTCATTTCGACTTTACTGATGTCCTCGTCATGCTCGAGAAGGAATCACTCAACGCGTACCTTGTTCGCGCAAAGCAACACGGCGTCCAAGGCTACTGGCTGTTCTCGGACAGCCTGCAATGGTGCCAGCTTGTCGGCTGGTCACTAGAGCGCACCGTCAGCAACCTCATGTTCGGTGCCACCCCTCGCGTCGAGGGCGAACGCATCAATGCTCGTCAGCTCACTCCTTCTTCACCTGCATCAACACCTGCTGTACAGTCTGCTGTTGAGATTCCCTCAACTAACGCAGACGTCGATGCAATGGAGATGTAACCCACTCGTCTTCTCCTCCCTCTCCCTTTCCTTTCCCATCTCATACTCGGCAACAAAAATTTCTTCGGTTTTCATCGTCGGTTGCATTGATCGACGATTGTTTCTGTATCGGGTTCTTTCTTCTACGGCAAATCGGCGTCTGGCGGTGGATACGAATGGCTCACCGGAAGTGACTCCATTTGACATGTATGATATTATTATGCTCACATACGACTGCTTGATCGAATATTGCGATCGCGTCTCTTAGCACCGTGCCACTAAACTCCTTAGGCAAAAACACACCAATGAATCTATGATTGTTATTACAACTGTTCTTTTTTTGAGATGACTGCGCCATGACTTGTGATACAAATGATGCCACCCACACTTCTCAACAAGAACAACATGACTTGCGTTGAAACGGCAACACCGACCTGAAGACGGAACGGACGGACACACATCTGCACCTCCCTGCATGCACTCTGTAATCCCCTCCTCTCCCCAGCAACCAACCAACCAAACAATAATTCCCTCTCATCACCCACGCAACCAATTCAAACACCCAGCACAGCACAGAATCCCTCCCGCCCCGTGCCCACCCTTCCTTCCTTACACCGGAGTTGCCGCCAAACTCCGGGTCCCGCATCCTCCACAACGCGAACACAACACGCCTCACGTCTTCTCGCACGCGCCGCGGTCTCTCTCTCTCACTCTCCCTCGGAACCTCATACCCGACCCTTTTTTTTTTACCTTTCTGGACGATTAGATAATCCCCCCGCCAACTAAACTCCCCTTCTTCTCAGCAATACCCGCATTTCCAATAAATCAAAAGCACAGACAACCTGTGTTTCATATCCCTGCCTCCCTCCTCTCACGGCTCCCCCCACCCCCCTCAAGGTTCACACAGCAAGAAGAGCGCTTATCTACAAGCGCAAGGGGCGGGGGAGGCGCCGCTCGCAACAGAATTGAGCGGGGGGGCGAAGATGCGTAAGGGCTAATTTTGGGTTGCTAGTGTGTTTCGTGGGTGAAGGATTAGAGTTTGTGGGATCTTCTCTTCTTCTCTGACTGGACTGGTGGGATTTTTTGGATTCGGATTGGATGGGAGGGAGAAGGGGGGGGTCCGTGATAGATCCGGATTAGTGTCAGCGTGGGTCATGTGATTTGCCGGGTCCTGAAGAAGGTTGGGTTTCTGGGGGGCGTTGTGACTGAGTAACGTAGTGTACACTTACTAGATGGCATGGCTTTCGGTGAGCGAATATGAAGAAAAGGGAGATGCAGGTGAGATGGGCTGTATGTGTATGCAATGCAGCTGCGTAGCTGTTAGATGCAGGCTCTCTCTCTCAACGAACGGTACGCGTGGTCACACACATTCTCGGCATCATGGTTGCGAAGGGTGCGAAAAAGCAAGTTCAGCGATGATGATTTTTTACGAAGAAAGTAAGGATGTTCGAGCCGATCGTACTTTGTCTTCCCCCTGACCCGGATTCCTACCACCGCAAACAAAGGTTTGCTGACGCCTTTTTTTCATCGCCCATCTGAGCGTGGTCTTTTGATGCATACGTGTGATAAACTTCCCATATTTAGGCAGTAAAACTTTATTACAGCTGTCGTTGCATATCACAATTGGTCCTCTTAGCACGCGGGCAGTCTGCAGTAGCGTGTTTGCACATTGCTATATGCTATCGTAAGGAATTTGATGCTGTTCATATCGTAGTAAGCTACTAAGCAAGGCTATGGCGCATGCCTGTAGCTTTCTAGTAGCCTCTATAGCCAGATGCTTCGCCTCGCTTTCACAACACGACCTTGACTACCGTCGTTTACGCTCCCCCTAGAATGTTAATACTCTTGCTTTACTAAGAAATAACACCTTAACACCATGCTCATACCGGCCGTCCTCCGGCTATTAATTATCTAGAGTTTTCTTTCTAGTTAGTGTTACTTCACCGCTACGGCAAAGGTTCAACGACTACGCGATAGGAGGTTAAATAGATACGTAGTAAGCAAGAATTCTCTCTCGTACGACGCTGTCTACTTCTGTTTAAGCCAAGAGCGTAATGTTGCTCTTATTTTAGCTAGCGCTGTAGTCTAAGTACCTTTTCTTTCTCTTTTCTCTTCTTGCTCTTTCTTACTTACTACGTGTCTATTTACCCTCTTATCGCGTGATCATTTGTACCTTTGTCCACCGCATTTATCCCTTCATAACCAAAATGAGTCCCGTCAGCACTAAAAGTACGGTGATTGTTGTATATTCTGGTAACAATATATAATTACTGTTTATCACCTTTCTAAAAAAAAAGAAGACCTGCTTGTGCCCGAATCTTGATATATACCTCGCTCACTGAAAGATAACACACACACATTCTCTCTTAATAGAAGACGACTTTGCTAGTTACATACTACCTTTACTTCTTCAACACCACCACCAATACTAATAATGACACCCTCCTTATTTCTCACACTACTCATCACGGCTGCTACGATTCCCTTTACTTCCGCCGCGTGTTGCCATTACATTGGAAAGGGACATTGGCTGTTGCCAATTCTCCGTCGTCACTACAGCTCTCTGTGTACGTAAATCATCCCACCTTCTATTTCTCTACTACTATACTATTTTCCTAATAAAAAAAATCCCAATAATAAGTGCATGAATAAAGCTCGGGCCGAGACTCCAATGGATTGCGCAAGGCAAAACTACTTCTCGGACTACTATCCTTCCGATGTGAATTTTATTGCTCCTAGTAATGCTGCAGCATGTGGGCCCCGCGGTGCTGGATTTCCTGCTTGTGCAAAGTGAATATAATAGTAGCTACGTTTTACGCTAATTATGACTATTCTATTTTTTATACAATTGCCTGCTTAGCGTTAAGACTGGTTGTAAAGAGGTGAACGTGATCTAAATAGCTTCTTGGCATAATCTTGTTCTTGTTCGGAAACGACGAGAATAAATGACGCCGAAACCGGTTTTGCGAAAGTTTAAAAGTGAGGCGGAACAATGGAGGAAAAAAAACGGCGAATCACGTGAGCATGTGTAGTTACGTCAGTACTTTGATCTGACTTGCAGGACAAGTTCACATGAAAGTACGGTGAGACCTAGTAGCTCCCTGCAGCTTCATTCGATTTTTTTTCTCTTCTAAAATCGCGCACTCCTATCTTACTAGGCTGGGAGTCAAAGATGCAAGTATATCTCGCTGTGGCTATCTTATTAGATTGATGAGTATATGTGCCGAAAAAAAACAATCTGGACTCTTAAAAAGGAAAATAGTTGCTCAAGTGAACGTATCCGATAAAGACAAGTAGACGTAGGAACCAATTGAAAAGAAAAGAGATGCATGTGTCTAGGATTAACGAAGGAGCAGGAAAATGATATTTTTTTGTGAAGGAACAGCAAGGAAAAAGGATTTAAAATTTATAAGTTAGTGTGGTGAACGATACAAGGTAAAACGCCTGGAAAATGCATGTAGACAAAAGTTTTGACTCCGGCTATAGCCAATTGAAGCAATGCAAAAAATAGCGAGAAAACAAGAAAACGATTCAAGCGATAGACAAGGAGCCAAGCCACGAAAAAAAAGAACTGTCCAATTAGCCAAATCCCCTCTATTGCCAAGTGGGCCACGGTCTTCCAAGTTTTTGTTTTAATTACTGCAAAAGATTGTTAGTTATCCATCTTCAAACACGAATCGAGGATAGGGAATGAAACTTACTAAATCTCCAACGGCGCAATCTGGTCGACATTATACAACCAACCTCCACCCTTCTCCTCGCTCTCCAACCAATCATACGGCCAGAGCACAATATGGCCCTGCACCAATTCAAGTACCCTCTTTGCGTCCTCCTTATCCAACATCATATCCGCGTCACCAGCGTGGAATGTCTTGTTGGAGCTCCTAGTCGTAGCACGGCGGCGCGAACGCTTGGTGTTGGAGCGGTTGGGAAGATTGGAGTTTTGAGAGGGGTGGAAGGGGGGCTCATTGATGGTGACTTGGCGACCCCGCTCGCGCATCGAGTGCGATGTCTGAGGTGGGTTGTGCGTAGCAAAGTCATACGAGCTATCGGGAATGGGCGGTGGAGCAGGGAAGGTGAACGTCTTTTCTGGTGGCGCAGGGTTCATTGGAGACACAATAGCGTCGTCAGCTGGCTCTGGTGCCAGCTTCTCATTCAGTGTAGATCCAGAAGCCGTGTCGATATGGATTCCGCGGTTAGTCTGGGCTGACAGGTTTTGGGCCTGAGCTCCTTTCTCGTGGCCAGCAGCCCATTGCTCTACGCTGTGCTCAGTAGTCGAAGTTCCATTGTCTGTCATCTTTCCATCAGAGTTGTTGGTCATCTTCTCAGTGAGCTTCTCGCCCAACGCTCCGACCTTGTTTCCAACCTTGCCAGTAATACCTGTGCCAGGCGGCCCTGTAGCGGTAGGGGCGTCCTGCTGCTTATGTACTTGGCCCTTATCACCACCTTGCGCCTTGGCGAAACGTTCACCGAAAGTAGTATATTCCTGGTACTCCTTCCATGTCCGAACTTCATTGTCGGGCATGCAGCGGAAGACCTGGCGGAACAGCTTGGTGTTGTTCTCGGCAATCTGATGCCAGGTGTCGAGGAAGAAGGAATCGCTGATAGGGTCACGCATGCAGTCTTCAGTAACGATTGGGCGTCGCATCTCGGTGAGAATTGGGTTCAGAACTGAGGAAGATCCTTGACTCCAGGTGCGTTGCAGGGCAGGTGGGCCACCAATGTCCGTGTCATCCAAAATGGGCAATGCAGGCAGCTGGCTGAGTTGCGTAAGACCAAGCTTTTGCGTGTCCATACGTGGGATCTTGGGAGGCGGGAGACCAGCATATCCAGTTCCTTCAGTCAGTGCACTGATTGCGCTGTTCCTAGTACCCGTGGTACCGCTGCGCTTTCGGGTCCTGAGAGTAGCGCTCTTCTTTGGTGTAGCCGCCAGACCTTCAGCTGCGATGTCTGTCACAAGTTTTTCGTGACCATGCTCATCGATGTACGAATCCCGACCTTGTGCAATTGTGGGTCGTAGGTGTTCTACCTCGAGCATATGGTCAGCACCCTCGCCCCGCACATCCTTTGCGTGCGCCGTGTTGTTCTGGACACGAACATCGGTTGATGGCTTCTTGGTACTCTGTAAGTGCGGGTTCTGGTCTTGCGCCCAGTCGAAGTCGTGATTGAAGCTGTGCAGCTTTTCGGCCTTTTCGATGAGCTCATCTTGCATTCTGTAGTTGTTCTCCTCCAGCTTTTGCTCAGTGGTGCGCTGGGCTGTAGGCGAACCGGGCCCGGATGACTCAGTATGAAAACCGACACTATCGGCATCAGACATTTGACTGGCCAATTCTTCCTCAGAAATGCAGTCCACGTCGATACCCAGATGCTCTCGCTGAAGACGCATGCGAAGTGTGTGGGGAAACTTGCCGACCTTGTATGGCTTGCCACCCATATAAGAATCCAGTACTTCAGTGTCGCGAACGATGGCTGCAATCTCAGAGTCTCGTGATCCCAACATGGAACGCTCATTGATATTTGCAGATCCAATAATGGCAACTCGGTCATCGACAATCATAATCTTGGCGTGGATGTAGAGCTGCTCTGTGACGAGCATCTTGTTCGGGCCGATCTCGCCCCACGATCGCAAGGCGTAAAACTGGATGTAGTCTTCGGGCTCAATGCCCGCAGCTCTCAGGCGACCGAAGATGGAGCCTTCTCCACGGCAGATGCTGTGATACTGGCAGGTCATAATGAGACGGACACTGCTACCTTCCTGCTCGTCGACAGTGTTTTGGTATCCAGGCATGAGGGGAAGCATGATGCATGCTCTCCAGTCTTCGTCGTTTGCATGAGCGCGCTTGATACGGTCGACAATGGCATCGTTGATCTTGTTTTCAATCTTTGTGCCCAACACCTCACTGCTACTGATGTAGAATTGGTTTTCAATGTAGACAAAATGCTCCGAGGTAGAAATCATCTGCACGTATGCGTTCATGATGCTGTGCTCGACTTTATTGGGCGTACCCAGTGACCAAGCACATGCAGAACGAAGGATCTGCACTTCGCAAGTTCCGTCGAGTCCAAGAGCCTCGATGTCAGCTGGATTGAAGTCGGGCGGTGGTAGCAGGAAGGGCGTTGGCCTCGAGGGCTTACGTTGTCGTAGCAGATAGTTCC